AGCTTAAACATTTTAAGGTTGATAATTCGTTGTCCATCATATTTTATCAGCCTCTTATTTATCTGCGCTCCAGTAAGTATTGCCCTGATCTGCTGGTTTGGGAATCTAAGTCTGAAGAGTAAGAAAAAAGTTTGGAATCCTGTCAAACTATGTCACTAAATCTCCCACTTGTTATTGTCTGAGAGTTTGGACAGACCTGGTTCAGTATATTATTATAACACTAATATCACTATTATAAACCTTTGGCATTACACAGGAACTCAAGGGGGTTTTGCATATGAAGATGTACATGGACACGTTTTTGAATTGTGGGTGTAAGCATGTGGGTATAAGATGTTTTTCATTATTGTGTTGTGCTTGGAAGTCACAACAGGAAAGCTCAGTGCAGTTCAATAACAAAAAACACTTAACAATAAGAATATTTAAGTACGCGTCAAGCTTTCCGTTACAGCGTTCAACGCAATTTATTTTATCAAACGCCTGTCTTAAATATTTCAATACCACTCACTTGAATGTTACAGTATATTGGTAACCTTAGAGCCTGAAAGGGGCTGAAATCAGAGCAGTGCCTGTAGTTTTGACGGAATTCCTGTTTTGTTTTGATTGCCTAGTGAATTGAGCTTAATGCAACAATGACTGCTGGATTACCTTACCTTAATGTGAGATAAATTAGCACTAAATGGGATGTTTAAAAAAAATCTGGCTCCACTGATGCAAAATTGATTCTTGTAGCTCAGTCTTGTTCACCCTTTCTCTCATTGCTGCATTCCCAAGTGTCTTTTTGATTTACAGAGACAGCAGTCACTTCAGTGGACTCTGCGTGTCCTGTTACTGTTCTGGGATATTCAGACGCTGGCACTTGGCCCTGGTGTGTTAGGCTCAACACCAGTATTTCATTTGATCTTGTCCTCTCCAGAATCAGCAGGCAAGAACCCAAGATAAATTGGTCCTGAGACTTGTGGAACTTTACATTGTAGCTCCTGCTGTAATGTAAAGGACTCAGAGACTGACGCATAGCCAACTGCAGTTTTACATTCAGATTTTTTATGTGGGGCTTACCTTGTCAGTAGAAAACAGATGAAAATATCAGTTCTACTCAACTGTTTAATGCTATGAATTCCTCTGAAAGAGTATTTGTTTGCTTTCTTTATAGATTTGCATGGTAAATAGGTATTGAGAGATTTATTCATACCAATACTTCATGTCTCCCTTTTTATGTTTTACTTTGTATTCCTCACGCTTTGTAAATGTTTGACCTAGATGTTATTTTGAAAATCAAAATTAGTTTATTTGTTGTTTTGGGCAGTAAAAGAGACCCTTGTCTTAAGTATTTTTTTTTATACATTTAGTGTTTTGTGATTCCAAATAGAACATTTTCTCCCAAACAGAAATCTTGGCTACAAATGGAATAACAAAGCAAAATTATTGCAAAATATTTCCTGAAATAATGCTTCTTAATATGTTATAACACTTACCGCTAAGCAATAAAAGCCCTCTCTGTCAGTACACAATTTATATGAAATTACTTTCTCTCTACATTGTAAAATAAAGGCCCAGTCTGTCAGGGTTTCACTTTTATAAAAAACACATTTGGATCCAACTAGTTTGCTTCAAATTAGTATTGCTTTTCCATGCAATTGCTATGTCACAGAAAACATTGGTCATTTGGCAGGCATTTACATCATAAATCACACGTATTGTCAGAATTCTGATGTATAATCAGCTAAAAATGTGGGAAATAACACTGAATGTTCCAGCATTTTGCCTCCATGTGTTATGGAGACTGAAACAAACAGCAAACCACAATTTGTGCATGCAGGCGCTCTAAGGTTTAAAACAATCAACAGAGCAGTGTACTTTGAGAACAAGCACACTGCATTGAGGTTCACAACAAATCTCCTGAACCACAGACGTTCTGCATGGGTTGTGCTAAGCACCTTCCCAGATTTTTGTTGCTGCTAAGATAAAGAAAGAACTGGGACAGGAGTCCCCCTGTTCGGTGTCCTGCTTTTACAGCATTCAATGTAGCAAGAAATATCAACTGGAATGCTGGACAGGAGTAGTTAGGATCCATCAATCCATCCATTTTCTAGCCACTTACAGGGTGGCTAGAAATGCAAGCCCCCGAGCCACAGACTGTAGCCCTGAGCCAGCATGTCACCAGATTACACGTGCGCGTTGGGCTGGTCTATCGCTGTTGGCTCGCGGAACCCCTCCACAGGGTGCTAGGATGTACCAGTGGTCAGTTTCAGTGAAGTCCTCCCCCACAAAAAAGCAGTCTATCACAGGGGAGTCATTCAGCAAAAAGATCTTCAGTTCCTCTTCTCCTGTGGAAGGATTTATCAGTCCTGTATACCCCTGGAAGATATGGAACACCCAAAATATTTCACTGCAGGCTTCCCTTTACCTGGAATAAACCTATCCTCTACCTACCCTTAGACTCCTGGCATACTCAGCTGGACTCACCCATCAACTGAAAGAGACATTACCTGTCTCAAAGACCTACTGGTACTGCATAGCTATCTTTACCAATGGTGCCCAGTTTCCCTGTATAAAAACTACAGTACTACTCTGTAGGGACAAACAGAGAATTCAAATAAATCCAAGAATATATATTAGAAAAAGAAATGCTAAATTCTCACTGGATCCGTCTTTACTAAATCCAATCCAAAACAAAATCCTTTCAAGTCCTCATTATCGCCTTCTAACTTTTCAAACCTAAAACTGGCAGTAGAACTGCCGGCTGGCTGCTGATGTTAAAGCACAGCAGTTGAATAAACAGTCCTGTGCTCTCTTAAGTCTCTACAATTCAGGATACTACTAACACACCCTCCCAGCCTGAACTGCAGGAGGTCAGACAACCCCCTGCCCTCTGTATCTGACAGCCATTACACTGACTTCTGCTCCTCCAGGGAAATGTCTAATTGAAGCCAGAGCCTATCCCTGCAAGCAATGGGCACACTCTGGATGGAATGCCAATCCATCACAGAGCTGCTTTCAAATTGTATAGTATCCTACTGTAAGTCTAAGTTATGGAGTAGCAGGTAGGGTTCAGGGCTTGTAACAGGTTCCAATTCTGGGCTCATCAATGCTGTTGGTCCACTGGACTCATATTTCACTTGAATTGTGTCAGTCAGACACCTGATTGTATTAAGAGCTGCAGATGTTAGTTGCTTTGCCAGATGTTAGATGCCAGTCAGATGAGTCTAAGCTATTTGAGAGATTCTCCCCTGTCCCCTTTTGCAGGTGCCACAGAGTAGCTCCAGCCTGCTGTGAGCAGCCTGCGTGCTTACAGAGTGGTTTCTGTTTTCCTGAAACATCTCTGAGCAGCGCGGTAATCGTTTTTTTGCCAGAGCCACACAGCATGTTTTCAGTTACTCTCCACTGCTGGCTGCCTCTGCAGAGAGAAGGAGAGAATATATCATAAGCTAATTAATGACATTATCATTATCCGCAGTGGCTACTGGATGTCTAGAGGGCTGGCCTCCTAATGTCTCCGGCTGCATGTCTCTCAAAGTGTGCTCTTGCTTGGTACTTAATGGAGAGGAAAGCTGCTAATTACAGAAGTGCTAAACAAAGTGAGGACTCTGTGTTTTGCTTGTCAAGCCTGGTTTAATTCCTCCCTTGAAGAAGTGTGATCCCTGGCTCCTCACTGCATTCTTCCACAGGCTGACCACCTGACAGCTGCACAGGGGCATACATTCTCAGCGTTATTATGACATTATCTTCGTCGACCCACTGTCTGCAAGCCAACAGAAATCTGAATTCTCCCAAATCCTCCATATAAATATGCGATGTGGCAAGCCTTTTCACGGCAGCTGGACGATCCTCGTACCACCAAGAACATTAAAATTAAAAGACGCCTTTTTTTTCCTGTGATCCATCTTATTGAGCAAACATGTTTTATTCTACCTCCTTTTCCACACAGCATTAATCTAGTTTCTGGAAACGTTCAACATGTGAATTGGCTTACGTTTTTATAGCAATGTTCCAGATTATAAATGTATGCTCAGACTCAGGTTGGAAATCCAAAATGCTTTGACCCCGAGCCGTTCAGAGCAATGTTTTCCAATGGGTGGCGTTTTCTGTCTCAGCTTCCACTTCTTCCTCTCCTTCCAAACCAGCTTGCTGTTTTCATGATTAAAAAGCCTAAATCTCGCTGGAACCCATTAGTAACTTAAGCAAAAGAGCCAAGTTTGTAATTTCTGTAAAATCCTGTCGTGCCATGTGTTGAAAGAATTCAGCACTCTTTATCCATCAAAAATTGGACTCTGATGTTGAAAGGAAAAACAAGTTGCAACACAAAAACAAATGTTGTTTCAAAAGATGTTTTAATAAGCTTGTAATATATCTTAAAGCACATAAGAGCATAGTACAATCTGAACTAAGTTAAGATAGATAGATACTTTATTGATCCCATGAGGGAAATTGCAGTGCAACAGCAGCTTAACACACACAACACAGCCACAGTGTTGGACACAAAACAACTTGCACACACATTTATAAAGATGGAGAATTACTGCACATAGACCTATTTAAGAATGTAGTGGGAAATTTGGTTATCCAGCAGATGTACAGCGTTGTTATAAAACCAAATGAGGAACTTAAGAGAGCAAATACATAATCCCCCTGCAGTTTTCATGCTGTCAATGATACTGTTATAGAGCTCCATCTTGTGTTTAGCTAGAGCAATTCAGTGCAGGCCTTAGCAGAGAGAAAATATTTATTGAAATTAACTTTTTTTTGCCCCATTTAGTCACACCTGTTAAAACGATGGATTATAGAAGGATCTCGTTTACAATACTTGGTCTTTAACCTTTAAGTAACAATGTGAATAGCCGACAATGAGCTTATAAAGATGGCGAAATGCTGCTGGTGTGCTTCATGGCGGCTTGAGTTGCCAAGGTAACCAGCCATGGAGGCTCATAACAGGAGCACCTTTGTGTCTTAGCTTACCAGTTCCTGTTATTCTTTCCAAATCCCACATGACTATGGCGTAGGAGGGCTCGGAGCAGGTGGTCTGGGTGTCGGAGGTCTAGGAGCTGGAGGACTGGGAGCAGGTTACAAGCCAGCAGGTGAAGTACAAACTGACATTATTGACAATGGGTTGTTATTCTCTATTGAAGAGGGGTGTGGTCAGGAGCATCAGCTTTTATAAAAAAAATAGTCTCTTGCCTGTCGTGGCCCGTACCAGGCAACACAGAAGTGATACAACAGCTGGTTTGCACTACTACTCTAAGAACATAGAAGAAATGTAAAAGACCACCATAACATGCATGCACATTGCTACATAGTAGTTGGGATGACCATGTCTCCTTTAAACTCGGGCCCCGTTTTACAAAATTGCACATATGATCTTTAGACTTTCAAATTACAAAGTTATTAATGATAACTCAGGAGGGATAACACTGGCAACCATGTTCTCCCTTCCCTCTGCTATTCTAACCTTCCTTGATGTCATTTCCTGAAAAGCCACAGTGAGCCCCATTCTCTTCTGTACAATCTTCATTCTGTACCCCTCCTCCAGTCCATCTCCACCTGTGTAGATGCCCTGTGTTCATCTCTCATCTTTCATCCCAAAGTTCTTCTGAACAAGTCAACTTCCATCCCATACTGAAAAGCAGCAAATTAAGAAAAGACACACTGTTTTTTCTTCAGGTGGCCTAAAGAAGGCTCAGTAGTTGAAACGTTGTCTTCTCTTTCTGCTTTTCAGCTTTTAATTTATCTTTACTTATACATTTGCAGTTTATTCTAACGTGTGACCTCTCTGTAAACTTGTACAAAACTTGTACTTGGGTGATGCTATTCGTCATGAAATGTGGAGGATTCCGGCTTCATGTTCCTATTGTTAGGGAGGTGGCTTTGCTCAAGACTAGTTTTCCTTTACACAGGTTATGGAGGCTACTATCCTGGAGTAGGCGGAGTGGGAACAGGACTGAAACCTCCTAAAACTGGTACATTACTTGTTTTACATGGAGTTGCATAAGAGTCAAGATTGTAAACAAAAGATAAAGCCTGTGATCCTTTCATTAAGGAAACTAGGAAAATGCTAAACCAGTGTAACATTTTAAGCAGACCATTACTGAAACATCAGATGTCTCTTTTGGTGGTCTGTTTTTAAAACAGCTCATAAACAATGTGGCTTGGAATATGTGTATCATTGATTATGTGCTCACCCATTAGTCTTAATAGCAGCCAATGTAAAGTCAACCTTGTTTACTTGCACTACCTGTATTTTGTTGTGCTGTGTGGAATTGAAACTGGGCCTGTGTTTGTCTCTATGCCCTTGGTGGAGCAGTTCAGCCTGGAACTGGAGTGCAGCCTGGAGTAGGTGAGTATTGCACAGTATACTCCCACTGTATCCCATTAGCAACATTGTCCCACTGCCCCACTTATTGCAGACAAATCTAATTAATTCATGAATATTTATTATTGCACCGATACAAAGCTACTGAGGTTTGTTTATGCAATTGATCATTTACTGACCTAAACTAATTTAGCAGTGGCTCATGATTCCTTAATTCTTACTGGAAACTGAGGAGTCCTTGATGTCTGATGTAAGGGCTGTTACTGTATATTGTTATCAATTTAATGATTGGTATATTATGTACTGGTTACAGGTGTCACCAGAAAAGCTCCTAAACTGGGAGGTAGGGTTTGGAATTGTGTAGTGCCTATTTAAAACTGCTTTAAAGCAGAGAATCTAACACTGATAGCAGCTAAGAGCTTATCTGTGTAAGCATAATCATTAATTATCTGCTTCTTTACAAAAACTCTGTTAAATCCTTAAAGTTTGCTAATGCAGACAGGAAGAGGTGTTACGCTAAAATCCTGATTCTAAACATTCTTCACCTAATCTCTCTGGTCCTCTGCAGACTAATATGCTGTGTGTTTGTCTTTAAGGGCATACCTTCTTTGAAGCTCATGAACATGCTTCTTAAATAGCTAAATCCATCTTTATGATTAAAAGAGGAGTACATGGAAGACCTTATTTTGCTCCAATGTGTGGCAATTTCTATGTGTTACAGACATCATCACACATTCATACATTATATGTATATGTATTGCATTAACTTCAGTGAGTCTCACTTCACCACAACACGATGGAGAAACATTGGTTGTGCTCAAAGTGCTGATAACATGATGAAGGGTCAATAAATAAAGGAATAAAGTCTTTTCTCAAACACTCATAAAAGGTTTCAGATTTGATCTCTTTTTACTGAAGAAAAGATGTACAACACGTTTCAGAATGGAAAAAAGGTCACTTCATATACTGTATAATTTCATCATTATTAGTAATGGAATGTCACCTCTTCCTCATAGCAGACTTCAAACGTATCATTTCAGTTATTAACTAACCCACATGGAATGCAAACGCCCCAAATGTCTTTAAAAAGCTTTGCTAGACATGTTTTGTCTTTTATGTTCCAGCAGTTCCTGGAGCGACAGGGCCTGGGGTAGGAGGACCAGGAACAGGACTGCCACAGAATGGGGTTTCTACAGGTAGGGTCTACAGCGTCTCCCTCTCAAGTGAGAGTGAAGACTCTACAAAGCCATTATAGAGAGTGTTTCTTATCACAGCATGGTTTGGAAGTGGGCATAAAACAATAAATGAGAGTTCCAGAGTATTTGTAAGCTCAAATTTACCATCAGTGGCAATGATCTCACTGTCCCTTCCAACAGTGTGTGCTGGCCAGACCACCAGAAGAGGGAAGCCAATAGCTGAAGCTCAGTATCACCCAGACTGCCTTTATTTTCAGCTTCCTCCTAAATGGTTGATGGTCGCATCAGATCAAATTTCTGAATTTTCTGTATCCATATGGTCCACTTGTTATTTGCCATGAACTTAACATGGTCTTATGTATTTCTGTGCAAACTAGAGAATGCATGGAAAATGTATACAGTACGTATTAAGACTAAGTACTAGGTAAAGGGGAATGCCCACCATAGAAGAAACTGTGCATATCTACCTTCAGATCAGAAGGTTCTGTAAAAGTCAGTTCTGTACTCTCCACTGTGTGACAAGATCACCTCTTCTCCTTGTCAGGAGCTGTCATCCCCCAGATTGGACTTCCAGGAGTAGGTGCTGGAGGGAAAGCCGGAAAAGTACCAGGTGAGGAAGGAAGCCATTTCTGAACCAGTGGCTCATCTACAGAAGTTAAGTGCTGTGCCTCTTACTGATGTCACTGCAAACGCTGCAGTCAATGATGGGAGATTCAGCACCAGCTGGGGTGCTGTACCTCTTACTGATATCACTGCATGCTCCCGCACAACTCCCAGGGTTTCAGATTGTACAGCAAGCTGAGGAAACTCTGGCAGACTCAAGCACATCAAGCCCAGATGGCACTTGTCCAGTTGTGCAACGCAGCTTGGGGAATCCCAGTCAGCTAATGAAATGCACCAGGCTCAGGCAGGAGGTCCTGGGTCACCGTGATCATCCTGTGCTCTCAGTCAGTACTAATAGCGGTTGTGCCTCCAAGGAGCACTCTATGACTTCCAAATGCAATGTGCAGTTAAATGTTTAGGCCCTTCTGCTGAGCAGCAGGAATCAGTAGCAAACATTGTTGTCTCTGTCTTCTTTTGCTAATATAAAAGCATAGGACTGTCTTTAAAAAAATGGCTTAATTTTAGCACCTCTGGGAAGTAGTCACCCCTTTCTGAGACAGTGTATTTCACAGGACTAATCCGAGTCATGATAGTAATTTGGTTCCCTCCTGGGGTTGTTTTGTGTAGGTGTCGGAGTTCCAGGAATTTACTATGGTGGAACTTTTCCTGGACAAGGTAATACATGTCTCCAAATCTACAGCCATCCCCACTAGATTATCATGTTATCCAATACATTACAATTCTCTCAGGAAACTAAAATTAAATCTGCACTTCTTTTTTGATTTTGATTTTACATGCAGTACGGTAAATACTTGGTTTTAATTTACGTTTGTATGTGTTTTTAAATCTGTGGGGGCCTTGCACTTATTTTCTTAATCGAGCAGGGTAAAGGTTTTGTTTGAAAATCAGAACGCTTCTTCTTCTTCTAATCCTCTAGGTTATGCTGGGCGAGGGATCCTCCCTGGTGTCCCCACTGGAACTGGAGTTAAACCCAAATGTAAGAACTCAAGTGATTTTCTCTCTCCTTGCAGGAACAAAGTTCCAGTAATACTGTAACATCTTTGTCCCCGACCCCTCCTGTTCTTGGACATGTGTGCTGGTGTGCAGGGTAGGAGCAATAACACAGAGTGTAGGACGACTGTTGAGTTCCTTGTTGGTAGAAATGATTTGTGTTATTACTCTTAAATAAAGGCTAAACTCCTGTACTGTTTACTATCTTATTTCAGTGCCTGGAGGGGGATATGGAAATGGAGGTAGGATTGTTTTTATTAAATATAGTAACATACTGTATATTACATCTTTTTAAAATATATTCAATATATTCAATATTTTGGTTTCAATCTTCTGGGGGAAGCTGAAAGACTCATTTTTAATATCATTTAAATTCAAACAGCTTTCTTAATTTCCCTATAAACCTACAGCACAAGTCTCTGTCCTTCACACGAACAGCTCCTTTTCAATCTGTGTTACGTTTGGTCCCTTTGTAGTCCAAGAAGTAGAAAGTTATACAGTGCAGGAAGGTTAATTCATCCTAGTAAGAACCGAATTCCTGGGAAGCAACTTGATAGACCTAATTTGCCTTTCATTCTGGTACCAAAACTATTTTTTCCTGATATTCTGAAAACAAACAAGAACAGTTGGCTTCAATAATTTCTCCAAACTTTAGACAGGGGTATAGATTATATATCTTATGAGGTGTAGAAGCCAAGAGGGTTTCAGGGCTGGAATTAGTTTTACTTAGTGAGTGATTTATATGCTGAAGCAGTTTTGAAATGATCAGTTTATCCATATCTAAATCTAAAACAAAATCAATTAAAGAAAATCTGAAATAATTATTTTTTAATTTTTTAATCCATGCTATTTTGACATCCATTGGTTGAAAGATAGTTGGATACTGTTTTTGTTAAACCTGTTTCATTCCTGGCTTCTGGCAGGTTACAGTACAATAAATTACTTAGTGAAGGCGGTATGGGATAATGTCACATGGTGGGATTGTATTTTCAGAGCTATCATTCTATGAAATGAAAACATGGAAAGACGTGTTTGAATGTTATTCCCCTTTATCACCTTTGTAAAACAGGTGGACCGAGACAGCCCGGAGTCTTTTATGGGTACCCTATCACAGCTCCAAAAGTTCCAGGTACAGTCCACAATAAAAATAAAAAAGAAACCAACCAAGACTTGTACTGTTTAAACAATTACAGTAGTACATCTGTCTTACAACTCTTTGTTTCTTGGTTTAGTTAATTGCAGCTTCGATACCACTTTGTGTAGAGTCTGCATGCTCTCTCATGGTTTGTGAGGCTATGGTTATTGGTGTCCCTCTGTGCTTCTGTGTATTTTGCCCTGTAATGGACTTGAATCCTGTCTTTTGCCCTATGCTTCAAGAACAGACTCTGGATTGCTGCCACTCTTTCCAGGAATAAGGGTCTTTCTGACCATGTACTGTATGTGTGGGTGCATTAAGTACTTCACTCAAAACAGGGATGAAAATCTATTTTAAATTAAATGAGCGAAAAGGGGGAATTAATAAAGGTGTAGGTAAAGCCACAAGCAAATGTAATTGATTTATTCATTAATAAATGTGAATTGATTTTCATGTAATAACTTAGCGGTTCCACTGTCTGGGAATGCAAAACTCATCATCATAATAATCAGAAAGGGATGATTAATTACTGTATATGGACCAAGATTTGATCACACATTGTTAGAAGTGGCGAATATTTCATTTCAGCAATAACACTAATCGTATCAAAAGCGTGATAATGTGTCTTGCAGATACTGTCAATCCATTTGCACTTTTTTACTCCAGTTTACAGCTATTACCAGCCCTGGTATGGATACAGGGCCTACGGTTACAATCAACAGGTCACGTATGGTGCGTTTATACTTGGGCTCTGTAACATAAAATGCTATCCATTATTCTCATTTTGAGGTTTCGCAAGTTCCACATGCTCGTACAGTTCGTTTCCGCACGTTTCCTTTTTATTATTGTATCAAAGCATTTCACGTTTTTTTGATAAAGGCAGACCTCAAAATGAGAATGTCATGGCTCTGTTTCCGTCTTCTGTCTAGACGGCCTCCAGAGCAACAAGAACAATTTTAACCCACTAAACCAATAGCTTTCGGGGCGTGCTTTTTGCAAATAGTGCAGAAGGAAGTAGTTTCCTAATAAACTGCCACCTCTTGAGACAACCACCCTTCAATATACTGCATACGTATTGTGGACTTTTTTTCTATTAGTGTAAATATTAGTATCACTCAGGCACAGCAGCAACATGGGTAGATTATGTTATCTCGACTGACCTACAAATTCATTAATCTGATATTTACAGTATGGGATAAGTGGTTATATTAATTAGTAAGAAAGCTGACTCAATTCAGTCTTCTGTCTGACTGTTTGTCTTCTGTCACCAGAATGTATGTGTAGTGTCTCTTGTGGGGTAGGATCAAGCATTTGTTTGACACAGCTTTCCCAATTAATTCAGATCCATACTCAAGAGATAGCAATTCAGCTTGGTAGACAAAAGCCAACAGAGGCTTCAGAAAGCTGCTGTTGTGAAATGATGCACAATTCTGTCTCTAGCACTGCACAGACATGGTGTTTGAAGTCACCTTTATTCCTTAATTAACACAGGTTAAAACTAAACAAATCACTTTTTTTAATAAATAAAGTTAAATAAACTATTACTTAGAGTTTAATTAATTATAGTTATATATAAATTATAACTATAAATAACAAAAAAAAAGTAGTCACAGGTGTTCAGTAAATGGAAATGCAATACTCTCACTGTTTTATTATTATTATTATTATTATTATTATTATTATTATTATTATTATTATTATTTAATTAATAGTTTCTTACCGACTCAGCTGTGACTTCAAATACTGGGTCCATCTAACAAACAACCTGTAAACCCATTAAGGTACAGTATGTAATGAACATACTAGTCCTTAAAGCATGTAAATCCTAGAAGGTTAGTAAAATTCTACAGCACATCCGGTTGATAATGTACTGTACTTGAACATCAACATTTGGAAATGAATACTATCCCAGTGTCATGGAGAAATTAATTTTGTTAGGTGGATACTTAGGGACTATTCTGTCAGATTTGAAATGCGTTAGATACTCATGTATCAAATCCTGGTGTGCATAAAGTAGCTTTATTTAGTGCTTTTGGGTTCAGCTCTTAAGCATGCTGAATTAATGATGATGTTGTGTCTCCTAATGGCCAGCCTGATGCCAGATCTCACAAAGTGGGCATTTGTTTTGAGGGAATAATGATTTCTCTGTGACATAATCTAATTAAATCCCAGATGCTCAAACATTAGTCTGATTGCCTTTTCCCATATCCATTTATGAAATGCCATAATTGTATCTGAATAGTCTGGTAAAACCTTATTTTAAATCCAAATTTCCATTCCAGTATCAACTTAATATCATCTCATATTTCAGATTTTTCGATAGACTTTGTATTAGTTCTTCGTTTTACCATCCAAACAGCCTCTAAGCACAGCTGTGATACAAAAGACTAACAACAGAAAGAAAAAAGGCAATTGCAAAAATAGGGAATACCAATCCAAATGCTGAGAAATGGCTTGCATTGCAAGCGGAGAGCTATTCTAACATTAGAACTGACAAATGGTCCTCAGAAGTTTTATGAAAGATTGGGTCATGCCACTGTGTTGGCACTGAGGCATTTGGGTGGGAGTGCATTTTAAATTCTCTCATGTTCTAATATTGGTATTCATGCAAATAAGAACCAAAACACATAGTTGCATGACCTGACTTGCCAATAGAACTTACCCCTATTGTAAATGATTTGGACCAAGAGTTCCTGCTGGTCTTGGAGAGCTGCTGTGGCTACAGGCTTTCCTGTGATTTGCTCATTATCGGCTAAATTAGACCTGTTTAACAGCTGGTACTTGGAAGAGATCTGAAGACCCTGCAGATACACTGCCCATTCAGACCCAAGACTGGGACCCCTGACTTAGAGATACTAACTGTTAATTTTTAAATCCATTTTGATTAAATGATTGTAGTCTCCTTTTTCTATTTATTATTAATTTTAATTCTGTATGTGTCGGACATGTTTGCATTCTACTGAGCCATTGGGTCAATAATTGGTAAGTGACACAGCGTAAATTGCATTGCTTTAAGAACAAAGAAGACATCAAATGCTTTTTATATATAAAGAGTAAAACCAATACACACCAACAAGATAGAGTATTGACAACAATGGATAATTGTCTCATGAAATAATACCCACAATTTTATTTTTTTATTCTTAAAAGTAAGACTATTTCTCATAATCCGCCTGACATTTGAAGAACAGGGCTTTTAAATTATTGATCACATGCTCAATATTACTGGAAATAATATTGAGTTGAGCACGAGTATGAATTGTATCACACATACTTCAGATACTGTATAACCATCAATTAATCAGCAACTAAAGAAATTAGACAGGTTACAATCCAGATGAGGCAATGTGGTCTTTGGTATGTTCTTATGGTTGTTATGAGGTGTGTTTTGTAAAACAGTGGTGCACAAATCCAGTCCCCAGGCTGTCATTCATTGTTAATTATGCAACTGCGTTAATTGTCCTGATTGGATCAAAGGCAGACCTTTCAAAAGCGTTTGTCTGTTGATGATTTGAAGAGTCCTTTATCACCTGCCAAGGTTTGGAAATTAAAGAGCTGGAAATGGAGCTGTGCACCTATACTTACCCACAGGGCTTCTCAGCCGGCAGCGCTAACAAACTGCTCCATTGGAGAATTATGCAGCTATCAGCTCCTTAACTACAGAATTAATCAGCAGGATCATTATAGCAATAGGTGGTTGCACTATTATATTGCAGAAGAAAGGAAAGAAATGGCTGTATGTTGACTCTCCCAAATTAGTACCTTAATTATAATGCCATCCGAGATCTATTTTTCGTACAGACTGTGAGATTTACTCTCCCTATCTGATTCTTCCTTACAGGTGGTATTGCTGGCAAACTTCCCTACGGTAGGCTGATTATTCATTATCATGACCGGAACTTTTCCTGAGTTCTCTCTGTTCAATCTGCAGCCTGACTGGTTCTGTGTTACAGGCTATGGAGCTGGTTTAGGCACTGGGCTGCCAGGGGGTTTGGGTGCAGGAATCAAACCAGGATACCCCACTGGCACAGGTACTGTAGAGCAAGATACCGTGCACTACATGTCTTGTAGCCATTTCATCTTGGATCTTATGGTTTTTGTTACACTGCATGCTGAAGTAGCTACGTTCATAAAAATATAAACATAATGCAATCTTTAATAAAGAAGGCCTCAAGGCATACTATTAATGTAAGTCTCCTGAAATATATCGAAGGATAATATATTGAAAGTCATTAGCTAGATGATGGAGAAGGTTAAAAAGGAGCAAGTTTGGCAATGAATCTCTACTGATTCTAAATGTAAAACATTTTTAATTATTTTCTAAGTGAACAAGATGATTGATTACTGTACATGCTCATACCCTCAATAGCATTAAAAATAGTTTTCAGGCTTTTTCATTATGACAAAAAGGTTATTTGTGCTAGTCAACATTTCCTTCTGTTTTATGGTTGCTGAGTAATAATTTGGACAACAGTGTTAAATTGAGCTGTCTGGGTGCTGTTTCGACTTTGTTCATTGTTCTCTTTGCAGGTGTTGGATCACAGGTTATATCTCCAGCTCAAGCCAAAGCTGCTAAATATGGTGAGCAGTACAGTGGTTAGCTTTTGCACATTGCATTTGCTAATTTTGACATTAAAAAAGTCAAAGTGAGCAAACACCAAAGTCAAAACGTGGCTCTTTGGCTTGGCTTTTACAAGTAGAATACTGTTTTTCACAGCGGTTCTACATAAAAGAAACGGTTGGAACAGCACAGGTCTGTTGATTTAAACCCACCCTGTCTGCAAGAGTGCACACACAAATGTTCACAGCAGGAATTAATGGCTCTGTAATGCCAGTTCTGAAAAGCCAGAGTGTATTCCAGTGTTCATTCCAAAACCTAAATGCTTTAAGTGAACTAAACCATTGCCTATTCCAGAGGAATTGAAATGCGTTCCAGATCTCTGCACATTGACCATTGAAGGCCGCCTGTAGATCTGACTGGGGTTTTCTAGGCCTGGGGTTCCGGACCACTGTCCTAGAGCTGTGATCAGGGAAACAACACTTCCTCAAATAAGGAGTCTTGCATCTCTCAGTATGAGTCACCTGCGATATCCTGAAAATGAGTATTTCACTTGTCTGGCATCCTGTAAAGGAACTAAAACATCATGAGGAAAGAGTGCCCCTTTCTCCTACTGAACCATTCCATGATGCTTCTCGGGTTAAGGGAAGGGTGGCTGTTTTTACTTTTCTTTCCTTAAGAAGACAAGGGGGTTTGTTTTCATTCCAAGCTTTACTCTGAGACCGGGATGACATGCAAATAAATCACATGAAAGATGTCAACTCATAACATATAATTAGTTCTTCATAATGTGAATTAAATTTAAAGACTAATTAAAAATGTATGTGGCAAGTTACATTGAGACGTGCTGCCATCTTCTAATCTGTATATATTTATACTGAAAAGCATCAACAACTTGAAATCCCTTAAAATTCAAAGCAAGGCTGATCCAGAAATGCCAACAATGCAGCTTTAATTTCAGTTTATTCAGCTGTTTCTCAGAGTGAAGTTCCAACAGAAAACAATATGCTGTGTTTCTCTGTTTTGACCAACAAATACATCTATCAACATATATAATATTTTCTGGCCATCTGATGACATCCTGTGCTGTAAATTAGCCCTTATTATTCACAGGAATAATATATGGAAGTGCTACTCTATCTCACATATGCACATGGTTTAAGCATTTTGATTCTGAGAACAGGTAAACTGACATACTGTACAGGTATATGAAATTATGACATAATTTATGTTAAAGGTTGGATTCATTATACCTGTTTCAAAGCTTTGTTTCAATGTGATTGTTTAGTTAGACAGACTGGATTAACGCAGACTATTATATATTAAATATCACCTTTTAGGGGGAATGGGTCAAGAATGTTCGCTTTCCACTTCCTTTTTATATTCTGCCTCTTGCCCGGTGAATAAAAATGCGCCTCTAGTCTTCCTGCTGCCCTGTCTCCCACGTCTGTGGACAGTTAAACTGAAGTCAATCTAAAAAACAGTTCTGAAGATTGAATTCTTGCTCTGTGTCATGTGGCATGAGCCCCACAGAACGCGTTATTTGCAAAACTAATCATGGCTGATCACTATTACTCTCTGCGGAGCTGAACGTTTATATACTGTATTTTTTTATATTTTGAATGTTCCTGATTGTCTTCTGTATTATCTTCAGATTGTCAGACTCCATGTCATGTACTGTTTCAGGTGGTGTCCTTCCTGGGACTGGTGTGCTTCCCGGAGCAGGATTCCCTGTCCGAGGATTGAGTCCTGGAGGTAAGTACGGAAGAAGTGGCATCTTTTCAATTCTCCAGACACAACTCCTCTCACTACGTGCAAACTATAGAGAGGGCTAGTGTGTCTACAGGGCTTCAAGGTCTATTCAAAGCAACAGCACCTAGGAGCTAGAAGAAGCTGATAAATTGTCCCATTAAGCCAGTAATGATCTGATTTAGCTTGTTAAGTGCTGTGTTGAGTGAAAGGGAATGAAATCACACATAGACCTACAGTATAATTGCTCACCCCTGGGCTAGCCTGACAGGTACTGGTATGTTCTATGTAATACTGTACCTCTCCCCTGAAAATGATCCGATCTTGCCCCATTATGAGGTTCCACCCTGGTGCTATTTCTTGGCTCAAATGTAACAGAAAATCTGCATACAAAAGTGACTATCCTAGTGCCACAGGAGAGGGCCTGGTCTTTTGGTGTGGAGGGGTTAGCACCTGTCTAGGGAAGTCAACGTGGGTTTAGAAAAGCTGAGCAAGGCCTTGTTAGATTTCAAAGACCTCATTAGGGTTCTCCAAACAAGCAGCAGAAGAAATGGGCACACTCAGAACATACATTATTGTATATTTAGATTCTTTGAAGGCCTTCGATAAAGTTTCTCATAAAAACTGGACAGCTGCAGCAGAAACTCAGTGCAATAAGACCTTCACTACAGTAAGTCAGCAGAAAGCCTCCAAGCTCCACCTTCCTCCCACCAGTACCATGGACTTGAGCACTAGAGAGCTCCTTAAAAATGATTTCAGGACAGGCCAGGAGCCAGTGATTCTAGGGGATGAAATAACATCAACTGGGATCGGTGGATTTACAGGAAGGCCAGTTAATAAGGTTTGTTTCTGCTGGTATTGGAGGCACTGATTGTATGCACCATCCCGGACAAGTGAGAACCAGATGTTTTCTGATGTGTTAAGCATAAATAATGATCAATATAAAAAGTAAATTATTTATATTCAGTGTTTAAAACCTACCTTTTTCTGTTGCAGAGTATGCTGCCGCTAAAGCTGCCAAATATGGTATGACCACTTGTTATTGATCTTCTTCAGTCTGTACAGTATGACATTTAATGCAAATGTATGACACTGCATCATATAGGGTATTTCTTGAGGAGTGATCATTTAAATAAAAGCAAAGCCTTTATTGAGATACAAGTGCTTTACCTGATGTCTCACCGACATACAGACATTTAGTAATAGACAGTGAGAGTACTGCTCAGAGATTTTGACCTGTGACTCATGACTTAGACGTGGGTCAGACTCGATAAATTGAGTATCTTGAATATCTTGGCAGATAGGTCTTCAGTCGTGACTTGAGACGTGACAAAAATGACTTGAAAACGTTAAGAATTCCCAGACCGCTAGTGTTCCGTGATCATTCTCCCTCACACTCACTTTCTTTCCCCTTCTGCTACACTCTTTATAACAGCCAGAAAGCACAGTTACCCAGACTATCGGTGTTACTCTGTGGTTCACATGACTACTATGCGGTATTATTTTTACTTGTCTTAAATCTATGTGACTTGGATGTTGGAATGTGAGACTTGATTTGGTCATGACAAAAGTCTGGCAGCGTAGTGTAACAGTTGTGTTTTTAATGCTTAAAGGCAAAAGAATGTCTAGTTTGGTCTAGCTTGGAACTTTTGTTTAGGCCTAAAATATCTCAAATACAAGGCCATAAAAAACTTGTTACAGAATCAAATTAACACTGTATAAATATAAGTAATGCTAGCTGCACTATTTCTAGCATGATCAGAATTATGTCAACTGTTGCTTTTGCAGTATTGAACTTGTGAACAACAGAGTAACACTGTAGCAGTGAGGGAAAGCAAGTGAGTGTGAGGGTGAATGATAACACAACACCAGCAGTCTGGGGATTTTTAATGGTTTCAAGCAAAAGTGTCCAGAAGTACTGTCCTCATAGCTAATCAACTTGCTGTGAGTTTAAGAGACTCAGAAAACAGCATGCTTTCACAGTCAAGTGAAGGCTTGTATAGCCCTGTGCATGTTAACACTTTGCAGCTCTCTAGATCCTGGCTGGTGTATGTTTTGTGGAAGGTCAGTGAGGACTGAGCTCTGTCTCAAGCACTTGTCCATGCTTACACATCTTGTGCACACATACACCTTACACACAATAAATTAGGCCACCGTATTGACTCTTTGGGTGCTGCTACCTGCCCCCCATTGCCAATGCAGTCTTACTGTACATTCCATGCTGTGGAAGCAATTTGCCACAGCTTGAAATAAAGGTTTAACATTGTCTAATCAACAGAAGGACCAATCAAGTCATTGCATGTTAGCTCTGAGGTTATTGGAGAATTGGCATTACCTGGCTCTGTGTGAGGCTGAATTAGACTTCCCTGCAACACACTGAAAAACGTTTGGTGTTTTGACCTGGTTCCCCAGGTGTGCCTGGTCAAGTTGCTGTGCCAGGAGCCGTCGGGACAGGAGGCGTGCCAACAGCTGTCGGGACAGGTGGTGTGCCAGGAGCTGTAGGGACAGGAGTGCCAGTTGTGCCAGGGAAACCAGGTACACCTCTTCAGTGCATGTTGCATACAAATGTTTAGTTTGCCAGCTGTTAATGGGAAAGTGATGCAAGTAATGTACAGTACAGCATGGTTTCAGACATCCATGTATCAGAGCAATGTTTCTGAAAACGGGAAAGCTCTGAAAGGTTGAGGAAAAAAACAAATGTTCATTCTATAATTGTAATATCCAGATAAAAAATATCCCTTTTCCCCATTTCAGATGATAATGGTTTATGATCTTCTGTTATCTTTCAATGCTAACTGATCTTTCTTCTTCAGCTCAGCCTGATTAATTAAGCAATCAGCCCTTCTTCTGAACTGCTAACAAGACTTGCCAGAAACAACTAACGAACATCTTTACTCATGTACAGTCATTCTTTCCTCCTGTTGTATCTCAAGTCTTTCTCAGGACTCAGAGGACATACCATTGATATATAATCACACTGGAGAAAGATTTTTTTTCTTTATAATAACTTTTTCAAAACTATATTTTTCCAGCAAAGGAGCCAACGTTAGCACCTGGAGGAACTGAAATCCCAGGTATAAAAAATACAAATGAAGAAAAATAAGTTCATTAGAAATGTCTCAAGGGCCTCAAATTTGAAGACCTTTCAAACTTTAACACCACAATATAAACAATTAATGTATTGTTTTAATGATCACTTGACCCAGTCTGGATCTTTCACAATGGATTGTTGTTTAAAAGTGCACGTTTATCTTTCTGTCTGACTTCAACGATGCAGTACTTATCTCCCAACACATCAGCTTAACAGAGATGTTTGCCAAATTTATAAAATCAAATCCGAAGAAAATAATAAGTGCCAACTTTTTTCAGTGTTTAAGGCTACCACCGTTTCATAACATCTTCTGAAACTATTTCCAGAACTTTACACACTTACCACCACCAATCAAGTAAATTCTGCTTCAGCTAACTCTTGCTCTCCAAGGAAACACAGCTACAGATCAATGCTGCATCACGCCGTTATTTCCCTGTTTGGGCTGCACTGTTGTTTACCCCCAGAGTATCAAAAATATGCTGGTTTGTGGCACCTTGATGCAGGTATTTCTTTACACTGCTGTGATCTGTTTAACATTAATTAATACAAGTAGTTATAGGCAAATGACATCTACAGTTTTTTCAATTCATTCCAGTATATTCTATGTGACAGAAAGGTCTCCTCTGCCACTTCCAGAACATATTTGCATTTTTAATGACGGTATTTTGTTAGGTTGCTTTTCAGTGCAAGATTCTTTTTACATTGTCAGGTTAAAAGGAGCCCACTCCTGAATTTAAGAAATTGTGCAAGCTGTAGGTAGCTCTGAGATCACCTGCCCTCCCTGCGGCTATTTCAAACCACAACTGCGGCTGCAGTCTGATGGAAAATTGTTCTGCAGAATAAGTTAAATCGTGTGAATAATTAAATTTCCAGACAAAACGAATGGGCTCAGAAAGATCGAGCTTTAGACAAGTTTTCAGAAATATCTAAAAAGGAAAACAAAATATTTCCCAAGGCAAAGGCGTATTTTTGATGCCATAAACAGTGCAAAGACCTCTAAAAACAGTAACGTTGAAAGCTGCCCACTGGCCTACACCACATATTCCTGTGCTGCTTGGGATTCTAGCTGAAGGCAAAAGCTGAAACCTATTGTTTTTTGGCAGGAGCAACAGCCATTGTAACAACTGGAGGCAAGGCTCCTATACCCAGTAAGGTTGAACTGTGCATTGCATGTCCACTGGTGGAGCCTGTTGTCTTGTGTCTGCAGAGCAAAAAAAAGAATCTGTGAATTTGTTTTGGGGGCGGGTGTGTGTGCCAATTTCACACTCAAGTCTCTCACACTAACCCCTGAGGCCATTTGCACTCCACGATCTCCACAACCTGCGCCAGCCATGCATTTTCTTATCTGGGTGCCTGTAGTCATTTCGGTCAAGTACAGGAATCCCCAGGTAAACTGTGTTGTACCACTGTGAGTAACAAGATAGACAGTGCAAGATTTCCTGCACTGATAGCAAAGTCACCAAACAAATTGAAAAGAGGAAGAGATAGTGAATCATTTTCCCTCTTGGTTTTCCAGTTGGCACTGGAGTTGTTCAACCGGGTGTAGGTGAGTGTCTCTGTATTTTTGTTAGAGTCAATGATTTAAGCTTAAGTGAAGATTTTAAAACCAATTATCCAACCTTTCCACTGAAACAGGTGTCATTGCCAATGGGTTACCTGAAATGTGCAAGCTTTTCACCTACCAAGCATTAATTTGGAAGGTGGAAATCCAATTATACTACACTTGTAACAAAGATAATTGTGTAATCAACATCAATCTTCAAAAACATCCTATTGCTTATTATTTCTTTGTTAAACTTAATTTCTATTTATTTTCTATTGTTACAGGAGTCATACAGCCTGGTGGTATGTATGCCCATCTTAAGTAAATTTTGTCTTTCGTATTTACTCAAATCTGACCAAAGAAAATAATCCTTAGATTAGCAGATTAGGTGTTAACATCTGAGCCAAAACAAAATTAAATCTGTTCATCTGAGAGAAACATCTAGCATGTTGCATGACAAATGTTTTATTGATGAAAATATCCGAGAGGACAAATGAGAATGAGTCCATTTTACAAGTACTGTATGTACTTTCTATACTACATACTTATATACACAATTAATATTTTTCATTATGTTTATGAGGAAAAATATAAATGCATAAATCCAAGAGCACAGCGCTGCCAAATTACAATTATAAAGTGCAGATTTTTTTAAATTATGTATAAATGAGAATGTATCAGTTTGTCTTTATGGTGTTCCCTAAAAATCTCTTGGATACTGACATTTTCTATTGATTTTCACAGTTGGTACAGGTGTAAAACCTGGTGGTGAGTAGTGCCTTTATTTATTTTTAAACAGTTTTAAAGATGGGTGTGTGACCTACTGTAGTTACTCTATTCTTATTTGTAAACAAAAGCACAATTTCATTAATATTTCGGGGGACAGGGTTGTTTTTGTTTTTGTTTTGGAGCTAATCTAAATTATAGTACATTCACTGCTACAAACCAGTTTATTTAAACCACCACTGACTGACTCCCAAAGAAAATGCCATTCACGTAATCTGTTCCAGATTCATTTCTTTGGAATTTCAATTCTTTGGGTTTTTTTTATAAATGTATTTCTTTTCTTGTGGTACAGGAGTTGTAAGTATAAAAAATTAGTTAAAAGTCTTGTTATTGTATTTACTTTTAAAAAACTGACAAAGGAAAATAAGGATTGCATAGACTATACAGTATTTTAGTAAACTGTAAACCCTTTGTAGAGGCTATATCTGATGGACATTTATGACAAAAGTGCCAAAAGACCAAACAGATCTAAATGTCAAATACTTAGCATATACAGCATCACAGCAGTGACCATTGTATGATAGTGAATTTAGCCTTTACTTGTTCCATTCCATGATGTAGGATGAGAGTTGGTGTTAGGTTTAGGATTTAAGTTAAGTCAGGATGAGAATTCTCATGAAGTGATACTGATCCTCACATTGTTCAACTCACATGTACTGTACCAGGAACGTTTCATCCCATTTCTTCAAAGAGAACATACACATTTATAAATGTATAAAACATGTATTGCTTCGAATTCAGGGACTAGCTGATTGAATTGTATTTTATTTGCACAGTTGGTACAGGGGTTGTGCAGCCAGGTGGTAAGTAACATTAATTATTACTTTCCCTGCTGAGCTTCATAAAGAAACATATCAAGGGTGGAGCAGTGGCTAAAGATCTGCACCTGTGGCTAGAAGGTTGCTGGTTCAAATCCTGCAGCTGGCAGAGGAATCCTACTCCATTGGGCCCCCGAGTGAGGCTCTTAACCCCAACTGCTCCAGGGGTGCTGTACAATGACTGACCCTGTGCTCTGACCCCAAGCTTCTCTCTGTGTCTGTGTCTCATGGAGAGCAAGCTGGGGTATGCAAAATGATGAATTCCTAAGAAATTGTATTGGGCTAATAAAGTGATGTTACGTATATCACTCATGATTGCAACAAATTCATTTTCCCGATAACATTATCCAGAAAACGGTTTTTGTAGCGGTTACAATGAGAATTCAATGAACAGACACGACACAGCTAAATTGAATGTGTTGATTGGGTTTTTCCATCAACAGCGTTGATCAACAGGAGGTGTGCTGTGAAAGACACAGGCTTTAAATCTGTGTGGCCAGCTTGGGAAGTCATTCAAGCTGCATTATAGCCCCATTCTGGTGTCTTAGAGCACTCTGCCCCATTCGTCTTGTAGAGCCTAGACAAGCAAGTGCACTGATCTCTGAGCTTCAGAAGCCACAATCTATCCCATCTTATCCCTTAAATGCTCATTGGGGCTCATGGCTGGTGATTGGGGAAATCATCAATCGGCCTGTGTTACACTGCAGCAGCTTGAGGACACGTGTTGTCCTGCTGGAATTCTGTAATGTCTAAATGAGCCCACAGTAAGGTCAACGGGTGAGACCCCAGCAGTTGATCAAAGTAGCATTCAGATTGCCTCCAATCACAAGGGGAATTTTAGATACTCCTGGATGCCCTTTGCACTTGGTACTCCCCTCAAGTCATGGTGAGCTGTCATGACACATGGTCACACAGATCTTGGCTGTCATTGATGTACTGTGTGTGGCTGTAATGTCTTGCCAGGCTGGAAGTTGCTGGCTGTGAACACCCCAGACAGCACCTCTAGTCAAGTCTCCAACATACCAGTGGTGCAAATATATTGTTCTCCTGATAAGCGGTGCAAACTGTTTCCTTTCTCTGTTACTCTTTCTTGACATTCATCAAGTTAAATCGCCTCCCCATCAGCTTTCTTACTAATATTTCATGCTTATGCAACAGACAAATGAAAACACTCATAGTCAATCACAAATTATTTAGTGACGCAAAAATATCAGTATACCAATTCTGTATATCTTATTCTACTAAAATCATACTTGCACCTATAAAGTGATGTATTCAGCAAAAGTTTATTAAAAGTGTTCTTTTGATGCTGGCTATATTTAATGAAAACATATTAAAAAACAGAAAATATTAAAAGAAATGGTTCATTACATCTATTTCTTTTTTTTTTACAGTTGGTACAGGTGTTGTGCAGCCTGGAGGTAAGACATAAAGTGACTTATTTTTTAAAACTGCTTTAAAAGAAAACAAATGAAACAGTTTGGAGATTAATTAAGATTCATTTCTCTGTTTACAGTTGGCACGGGAGTTGTGCAGCCCGGAGGTGAGTGGTTTTCAATGTCAAATAATTTTGAACGAGATGTGTTTTTTCCAAAATTCAAATATTGTATTTTATCAGCTGTCTACATTAGTTGAAAGAGAACACAATTAGTGTATGATTTGCTCAGTAGAACTTCTATAATTTATCATTTGAATGGAAATATTTATTTTTTAATTAGTGCAGTTCACATAATGTGTTATTTCACTGGAAATGCCTAAGAAATGCATTTGTTTATTTTGTAAGCCTTGTAACGTGAAAAAAATATCATTATATATTTCCAAGAAAGCTCTTTTGCCAACTGTGGATTCTGGATTTATAAATTTGTCATGACGGATAAGGCATTGATTTGTCCATAGGGTCTTTACTAAAACATGTCTGTTCCTGACATTTTTTCTTGATTTTGACAGTTGGTACAGGTGTGAAACCTGGTGGTGAGTAGTGCCTTTATTTATTTTAAAGATGGAGTTTTACAAAAGGCATGAAGGTGCTCAGCCAACTACAGAGCAGAAGAGCAGCCAAAAACAAAAAGCCATCAATCAAAAAGACAAAGGGGCAACAAAAGTCACTCTGAATCCAGACCCTTGTGTTTATCTGGGATTAAGATCAGAATCTGTAGCCAATAATGTCAAACTTTTGCTACGACGTTTTGCAAATAAAATAAAGCTTTGGATTTGGAGTCAGTGCTGTGCTATTTCTGTTTCTTGAAATGGGATTTCAATTCTAAAAAGCAGGACTAAATTACTCTGAGCTCATTTTTAAATTGGACCTTTAGTAAGGTCTTTTTAAAATATGGCCTCTGGTTGTGTTTATTTGTCATAATGATGTAAGTTTTTTTCCCTTAATTCTACAAAGGAGTTTGAATTTTGGAAACATATCCATTTACCCAAGAGATGTCATGCTCAGAGTCTTGAAGATGTCAATGTCATCTGGGCTGTCTGTTGTCAAATATGTCCAGTTTTCCAATTCATTTGCCAGATTTAATATTTGTCTCAAGGCCTTGAGATGCCTTGTTTGTTTTTACATTCATCAGATGTAAAAGACCTAGAAAAATATTTCAAGCTGAGTAAATTCTCTCATTTTGATGAGTGTAAGACAGAATGGAAACCTAAATAAACCAGTGTCCTTAATACATGACATTTGACTCTTCCATCTTTTTTTAATTTGAAAATCCGCATTGTTACAATACATGGAACAGTTTCAAGGAAAATCCTATATTAAACACCAAATACTTTGCCATAGTTGTTCCAGTTTTTGCTACCCCCTACAGATATACCTGGGGTCTTTTGCATGGTTACAAATGAACAGAAATACATGAGAAAGTCAGCATGGTCTTTTTTTTCTAACAGTTGTAGGGGTTGTTCAGCCAAGTGTCAGTAATCACAGTTTATTTTCTTGTTTCTTTTGTTTTTTTCAGGGGAAGCTTGTACTCTCACACATTCACCATTTAGCATGAATACTGATCTGGGATAGCTTTTTTCCCCTCTTTGGTTCACATGTTCTAACCCTGAAAGCATTTTTTTTCTTGACCTTTCCTTTCAAAGTGCTTCCTGACTTTGTATATAAATTATAGGACCTGCCAGTTCACAGCTCTAGATGCCTTTCATCCCTGTTTTTATTTTCCAGTGGCCGCCAGGAAAGCTGGAAAGCTCCCATGTGTTCACCTTGTGCTCGTAGTAGAATCCGATGGACACGTTTTCCCTGCTCCAAAACAATTTATTTACAGCATTAATACTTGTCAGTGTTTTGGGGGAAAAAAACAAATCAATAATGATGAAGAACACTAAACAGAATGGTATTTTCTCCTTCTTTCTCCATGTCTTTCTTTGTCCATCAGTTTTTCCAGGAGGACAGCAGATAGGTGGTAAGTCTTCCTTGTCAAGCATCTTAGTACACCAACAATAATAACACTAATTAGCTGCCCTTGGCCATTTGGTTGGGGAAACCACATTCAGTATTTCTTTTTCAATTAATATTTTGACAAGGTTCATCTGAGTCTTGGAATAATGGTGTCAAGAAAATGTCTCCAATAGAATAGTTTCTATGTAAACGGTGCAGTATGTATATCATCCACTTGATGGAGCCAAAAGACTTTGTACTTTCTTGATCGTGGCGGCACGCCTGCTCCCACTGCATTCATACAGTCCCTCCGGTGACTGTGAGCACTGTGGGAAACGGGGTGTTATGTCAGAGATCTAGTGGCAGTTAAAGAATCTGTAGATATGTAAAGTATGCAACTGCAGTTAATATAATTAGTGTGTGTTCTGTTCACTGTCATACATTACATGTATATACAATGTCTCCTTTGCTGCTTCAGCAAGAAAAATAATTTATACTGTGTAGTCCTGACAATAAAGTCTGAGACAAAATCATGTCAGTATAGATTTATGGTGAAAATGTGTTTCACAAACTGCAGTTTTATAATAATAATATGTTTTGTTTTTTCAAACAACAGCAGGTGGTGTTAAAGCTCCAAAACCTGCAGGTATTGATTCTTTCTCTTATTCTGTATAATGATATACTGTATAATGATAACGGTGATATAGGACTCACTTCAAATCTAATTTATTGAAAAAGAAAGTCTCGTCCAACTATCATTTCATTGTTTTGGTTGAGTCCAGTGTTGGATTACTTTTAACAATTTTTTAATACATTTTTAAGTAAATGTGCCATAAATACAAATCGCATACAAATTTGAGTTTCGACTCACATATGAATGACTTTGTCATTGTATCTGCTCACACTTCCTTGGTTCTTGTAATGTCCTAATAAAGAACAATGGGCAGTTCAATTAACTTCAGCACTGTGAGGAAAATAATTGCCTTTCTTATGCACTATTAATATATTCATTAATTCAGCCTGTACAAGATATCTTTAATCCAGATCCATGCGGCAGCTGTCCTTTCTCTCTTTCCCATGACAGCGTAATTGTACTAGAGCACGACCACTGTACTCAGCTCATTTTTTCAGGTTCTTTGGCAGACCGACATTGACAGGAATAATGCACTCTTGCTCAGGGCAGAATAAACTGAAACTGAGGACATGATATTGAGAAAAGGGCAAGAGACAATCTTAGTAAAATAACATTTCTGTGCTTTCCATGAGCATGGACTGCTTTGTATATGTTGTTTGCAAGTGCTGGAGCAAGAGAAATATTAGCAGAAAGAAACTAAAAATGTAATGTGGTTCTTCAGCTCTTCACTGAGGTGAAATTACAAGTGTTTTTTTCCTGTCACAATCCAGGTGGATACCCGCTTGGTCAAGTTTATCAACCAGGTATGTACGATATGAATTGCACAGAGAAAAAGCACTAGCAGATGTGGGTCATGTTTTCTTTTGTACTGAACCCATGCAGTTGATAATGGCACAAAGGCACTTTTTGTATCCATGTTCAAATACAGCCTTAACAATATATCTCAATCTGGTGCAGCATTTAGGGAAAAAGCTTTCTGAAGCCATCTCATTGTCATGTTTGAAAAAAAGGCCATTTCAACTCATTCCTTTCCCTGAAAGAGATTAGGTTTACAGAACAGGCTATCACAGCACCCAGTGAGCATGTGTTTGTGTCAGGAGCATTAGGAGGCACTTTGTCAGAGAATAAATAATTGCTGGAAAAGGTCTCTAAGTTTTGCAGGCATGTCCTTATTATCCCTTTGCCTGGAATTGTCCAACATTTATTAAATAACAGGACTAGGACTAAATGATGTGATGGTCATCTACTGTATAGCATTGCAGTACATAATTTGTATTTGCAATATTAATATAGTGATTATATTATTAATCAAATTTATATTGAGAAATATGATTATGATATTGTTTTGACAATGCTATTATAATACAATACTTTTCTTTGTTTTTATATCATGTAATTAAAGCTATCTCTGATTGCCACAGATTCATATATGTTTCAGACACTCCAATACCTACCTGTATCAAGACCTTAGAACTTTTCAGCCTTCTGAAATACTTTGCTTAATTAGCAAATGAGCAAACTGGCTAAAATTAAGATTTTAAACTACTGTACTTCAAATGATGTCTGTGATCTACTGGCACACAGAATTAATGATATTTTTTGATAATTGCCATATACTTTACATGTCATTTATCTGATGCATTAGTACTAACTACTGTACATTACCTGTATAATAACATGCTTTATATTGTAAAATAATTATTTTGCCTAGAAGCTAGAATATTTAAATAGATCAAAGTAAATCCATTTTCCCTCTTTATAGTCTGTAATATCTTGCACAACTCTAAGGAAAGTGTTTAAAATGTAATGTGTCACAAATTAATCCTCCCTGCCCCCTTTGTAATAAACAGTTACAGTAATGCTACAAGCACAATTAAAATAAACCTTCATCAATACAAATTTGAGTTTCACTACCGTGATAAATATCACATCATTTAATTTAACCATTAAAAAATTCACATGTGTATTTTTAAATATCACACACCCTTAAACTGGCCTGAAGCTTAAATGTTTTTGCTGGAGTCTTACAGGTTAATGTCTTTTTTAATGGAGGTACAAGTATGATATTGTACATGTCCATGTGTTGTAAGTGATCACTTATATCTAGTCTCAGGGCTGTGAACTGTTGTGATCATAAACCCCCAAAACTGTTCCATCACCAATGATCAAACACTGTGTTTTAGATTGCAAAATTACACATTAGTGCTTAATCATATGACGAAATGGTGAATCTTCTGTATTAAATACTGTATGTCATCATAGATTTCTCACGTGACAGTCTAATCAAATTGCTAATGAGTCTGGTGTGTATGCAACATCTTAATAATATCCACTTTGATCATTTTAGAGTAGCACCATACTTCTGACTGCCCTGATTGCACACAGAGACATGCAACACAATTCATTTTTATTAAAAGAACTGGACACACACGCATTCCATTTCTGAACAATTGTGCTATGATTGCCATCAGGCTATCAGAAACCTATAAAACTACAGCCGCCCCTGCAAATGAAAAAATGTCATAACTCTGAATGATGTTGAGTACAAAATGTTTCTTCTTAAATCACCATTCAGGGGGATATCCTTTTGGAGGCTACCAGGTTCCAGGAGGTAAGGCACACATGCAGTCAGACATAACTGCCTCAGACATAACCTGCCAGTGGAAAATACCAGAGGGGTATCCCTACATGTCCATTTCAACTCTTACCTCCCTAAAACTTTACCTGCAGCCCACCACCTCCAGACTCAGTGGCAGACAAGAACAAAACCATTATCATTTTCAAACAGGAAGGTCAAGTGCAAGTGCCTTTGGGGGCTGGAACATGTTTTGACATTTAACTTTGCGCAGACACAATTTTCGCGAGTGTAACAGGGTTCGGTCCTAACAGACCATAAGTGCAGCAAGTCCAGCACGAAACTGACTTGAATTACACAGAAGAATCTCCTTCCTCTGCAGATTTCAACTTCAACAGACTAAAATAATGAATGGAAAGAGAGGAGCTGAACAGCTCTTTTTTAATCAGCATGCATCTCGCTGGCTCTTCAATTCTATGGTCACCAGGGTACAGCTTGCAAGCTTCTGTAGAGAGTGAAACAGCTGATGAAGGGCGGCTGTTGGAATTCAGGGCTAATAGGGTGCCTGAACAAGCAACAGGTATGCTCAAAGAGGAGTGTGCCTGTGACAGCCCGGAGTCTACCAGCCATCAGTTTTGTCCAGCTGTGCACGGTTGTGTAGGACCCTCTAGCGGCTGGCAGGGGCTACAACAAGTTATTTTTTATTTTGCAATTTCAAGATTGCAATATTCAACTAATGAAATATTAAAAACGTATTTAAACTCCCTCACCATCTTTACAGATGGACCCCTGCAGCCTACCCAGTAACTTGTTCATACATCTAACATCCAATGTCTAAATGTAAATTGTGCTATAATAACTTTTTTTATAAAGTGCCTTTCTAAACCCAAGGATGCTGAAATACTTGAAATTAAGTCATAAACGTGAAAAATGACTATTTTCCTGGATTTGCACATATTGCTATTTTAACTTTTGCACACAAAAAATCGATAGCTTAATGTTCTAATAAATTTGCATACCACAGAATAGCAATGCTTTTACATGAAAATACTGTACATTAGATCTACTTTGCTTTTGATTTAGTAGATCTAGATTTAATTTAGTTAATTAAACTGATTTTTGAAATTTGCTTCTACAGCAGGTCCTTACTATGGAGGGGTGCAGCCAGGTGCCAAACCACTGAAAGCCCCAGGTATGAAACTGGTTTAACAACAGTTTGAAACGGCAAAAGAAATCACCCAGACCAAATGGGAACTTTTTGGTACAGTGCAAGAAAACAGAATATCATTATCTGCAATTGACTGAACCCAAAATAAACAACCAAGAGAAGCTAGCTGGTGCAAAAATGAGATAGAAGACTGAAAGAGCACAGAAGAAGTATTATTTTTATTCATGCTTTGAAAGAGGCTGCTTGCAGTAGTAGATTAGGTTCATTCATGATCTGCTCAGCTGATATGCAGTAATAGTACAGCTGCAGCACAGTGAGACTGTAGCACAGGTGTTAGTAGCAGTGAGAGGCTGTGACTCAGTGGGCTCTGTTCTAATACAGGTGTTGGGAGAGCTGGAGTCGGAGCTGGAGTCGGAGCTGGAGTCGGAGCTGGAGTCGGAGCCGGAGTCGGAGCTGGAGCCGGACTGCTCCCAGGAGGAGGTACTGTATGAGTCTGCCTTTCAGTTTAGCAATTTGTAGTACAAAACACAAATGCTTGCTAAGTACGAAATATCTGGGTTAAATACCCAAGCTGTGTGTGTGTAAAAAATGCTTCCTCTTTCCTCATGTCTTACCACATCTGACCATTTTATTTTACAATGTACTGTATGTTGTTGACATGCACTGCTGAGGACAGCTTCTCTTGCTCTGTGGCTTAGCATACTCCTGACCTGCACTGTCCTAGCCAGAAAGAAGCATGGTGAAAGAAGCATTGTTTGTCAACATTGGCCAATGTCTCACTGATCCTCTGAACCAGTTTCAGTCACACTGTCTGTCCTTCTTCTGGTCAGACACTTCAGGTGCTCATGCAGAAGGGCTGCTGTCTTTTAGTCACCTCATGAATGAAAAGACTTACAGTACTGTATGTCAACAGCAAGGTACTACAGCTGGGCGTCTCTTTCACTCTGTAACACTGGAGTGAGAGAAGACCTGATCTATAAATACAAGTTGTTCTTGTTGTTTACTTTGTAATCTGATTGTAATCTGATTTGAAAACAAGTTCCTGGAGGAGAAATAATGACAGGTTTCAGAAATAGATCCTGATATACCACCAAAACCCCATCAGTAAGAATACAAGTACTGTAGCAAGAAATGTTATTTTCTTTGTCTGAGCTAACATACAGTAGTGCACAAGGACAAGGAGAGCCTAGTGGCAGATCCACTGAATTCTAATGAGACAGGGCCTAACCTCACAGCAGCTCACGAAAACCATTCTCTCGCACTCCTCCTTGACCTGTTGTTGCAATCAAAGGAGAGGAAACAATCAATGCCAGGTTTTATGCAAAAAAAAAAAATCTGTGATGCAAATATTACATATAGCAACATTAATCAGTACTAGAATGTGCATTGCACAGCAAATTAAAATGTCTGTGCTTTACAAATAGTGCTGCTCTAGTTTATAGTTACTGAGCCCTTTGTCAAGTTTATTTAGAAAGTCCTCCCAAAGCTTTGTTTTCCTGTGTGGTACAGTATCTGTTAGCAAAAGGATCTAATCCCCACAGGCAGAAAGTTACCAGTCTCTCCAGGAAGAGCTATCAATTATAGTTTCCTGGTGGGGGACAGAGCTTATTTTCATGTAGCTGACAGAAACTCTGCCAGGAAAGTGATCCACCCTGTGCCAGCTGGAATGAAGAATTTCCGCCCAGCAGGGACAAAAAGAAAAAAAAAAACAGACACTGATGTGTCCTTTTAGTGTACAGAGCAGTGGGAGCTCCTCACTCATTATTGTTTATTATAAAGCGCGTACTGTACAGAGAGAGGATGCACGATATGTTATTCACCAAAACTACAGCATAAATAGGCCCTGTCACTCAAAGAATAGTGTTTCTTTTAAAAGAGTCAAAAATGTATTTAGAGCACTTAGTATGTAGGATAATTTTAGCCATTCATTCATTGTTTACTTTACTTTGCAAGTTGTTCTGAATTCTAGGCTTTGTTTCCACTAAAGGGGAAGGCATTCAAGTCTGAGAACAGGATGCACCTATTTACACAAAGGGTTGTGGGAGTCTGGAACAAGCTACCAGCTTATGTTGTTCAAACTGATACCCTGGCTTCTTTCACGAAACAGCTGCAAGCAGGCTTCCGATCAATCACCAACTGGCAACCTAATTGGCCTCTCCTTGTTTGAAACCTTTCCTCTGTTATTGAGATTTATTTTGCTTTTCAGGTCTGAGGTATCCAACTGGTGTAGGACTGGGAGCTAAACCGCCAAAACCGGGTATGGTTAATATTTGCTTTAGCAAGAGAAGGGGGGGGGGGTCTTTTAGACAACAGATTATGGGAACAGAGTTTTTTATATATTTAGAAAGAGAAAATCTTTTGACATTCATTAATTCTTTTCATTAGTAAGTCTCTAGTGCAGGGATTCCCAATCCGGTCCTGGAGGACTGGTGTGTCTTCAGGGTTTCAGTCCCAGCTGGGTTTGTAACAAGCTGAATCAGCTCGTTATTGGCTTAACTGGAACAGTTTCTACAAGATCTTCAGGTGGAAAAACCTAGAAGACCTGCAGACACTGGTCCTCCAGCACTCCAGATGCCCTAAATGTTTCAGGCAGGCAGTGTCACAAACCGTACACAGGCACACAGAGACCGTCGCATTCCCATGAGCATCCTGATCACTCACTAATTAACTTCACTCACCTTGTCTATTAAAACTCCCACTCTGCAACTCGTCCTCGCTCAGTATTGTGGTTTCCTCAGCCAGAGCTGTGTATCCAGTTTGCGACTTAGTCCAACCTCTCGTTTTTCTTGTGACCCTCTGGATTTCTGACCCTTTGCTCCTGATCTCTGACCTCGCTCTAGACTGACGATTTGGATTATGTCCGCCTTAGGAATTCAGTTGTTTTCTCTCTCTCTGACTCCGCAAGGGTCTGTTTCCCTACCTTTTTGCTCGGCACACGTGACAGGCAGAGTGTTTCTAAGCCTTTTCTAGTCAGTATGAGAAAACCTAAAAGAATCAGAAAGAAGAGACACTCACAGAAGAAACTGATCAGTGTTCAAAGAAGAATTTGTACTGTAGATCCACTACCAACATCAAGCACATAAGCTGTACTGTACTAGTCCTTCAGGGGGATTCCAGGACTGAGTTTCACACAGAAAGGAAATGTTTCAACTGTGCACTAAAGCAAATCCCACTGTGAGACTGGAAATATTAGAATCCCTTTTCTTGGAAGATCTCACAGATGTGATGTAACTAAAAAAACAGTGAAATGTCTTTAAATTTCACTGTGCTTTTCTGTCTGTTATTTGATCCGACTTCTGCATTCAGATTTCTTTTTTCTTCTTTTCAGGCTATGGTGCTTTGGGTGGAGGATTTGGGCCAGGTGAGTTTTTCAGATTGTTTGCCATAACCAACCATGTCATCCCTAAATTGTGCTACTGTTAACATCCAGTTTACTTAAGAAACCACTGTGTTTGTATAGTGTAAGGTCTCAGACCTTAAGGGTTGTACTCTCAATTCTCCTTAACAAATACTAAATAAATATATGTATTAATATATGTACAGATATTTAAGCCTCTTACTTTATATAATTAATATTATTATTTTTATATATACAGAATTTTTGTACAGTATATCTACATCTGTTACTTATGCTGCATCTCAACTAAAAAAAATCAAAAACTAAAAAAATAACCTGTACCTCAATACATTGATACAAAAGATTTACATTTTGACTTACTCGTGGGCCTTCCTTTAATAATCTGTTAACCTTTAATGATCTTAGATGCTGATTTTGCCTGGGATGAAGCAGGTCACGGGAAGATTCCAATACATTAGAGCTAACACTGGACATAGAAAATAATTTGTGCACTTTTATTCCACCTACTGTACTGTATAAGTTGCTACAGTATGTCAAGCCAGTTTGGAATCTGGCACTGTTGAGACCGAGTTAACTAATTAAAAGATGCCCAAGGCTTTTTCACAGCAGGTGTTCAGTAGGATTTTGCATTATAATTATATTCAGTAGGATGTTGCATGTGTATATTTAAGGAGCAGCAAAAACAAAGAGAGCTGTTTTCTTGCAGTGGGTTAGTACAGGCTGTCTTTGCAGTGAGTTGCAATTATGATTAAAACAATGGTCTGGATAGTGAGTAATAATAACCCACTGGAGCTCAGCAAGTGTGAGCCTGGCCTGTACCTGGATGTATGTAAAAGGGTCCCAAGACACTGTATGCAGTTGTATAGTGTATTGTATATACAGTATGTTAACCCATCCTCTCATTTATCAACAGTGCCAAACAGTTATTCTAGATTACTGTAGCTTGAAACTAATGAGCCTTTTCTTTCCATGCAGGTTATGGTGGCTACCAGCAAGCTTTCCCAGGTAAGAACTGAGAATCCGAGGTCTTTGTCAAACAGAAACCAAGGCTCAGATTGGACCAAATAGTAAACGGTGCCTCAGAAAGCTTTAGGACTTTAGGACTCCATACCCAGATGTGCTGCTGAGGCAGGTCCAGGCTCATTATTGTGTTCACTTCTCCAGCTGAAAGATGATCAGGGTGTCTGAGACCTACAGCCTGTTTTCCAGGCTCTGCAGTCTCCATGAATTTATTCCAGACCTCAGTGACACTGGCAAAAAGAGCATCTTTCCTAGAGGAAAGGCTGTGGCATTGTGAGTCAAGAGTGGTACATGCATATACAATTTAATCATTCATCATTCAGGAGACAGCCCGAGTATAACAACCTGCCGAAGTCTGCAGTCTTTAACACAGAACCAAAATGCATTATCTTTTTTAAGCTAATAAAAAGCTGACACTGAGCATTGCGAGAATAAAATTACTTTCTAATAGATCATTTTGGATTATACATTTGTTTAAACAATGGTATGTATTAAGGTAGAAGGTTCTCTATTGGTGACACCCTGTCACTAATAAAGATCATCAGTTCTGCTGTGGAAAAGTGTGTGTGGTAGATGGCAATTTTTGGGGGTCTGACTGTTTAATCAGGACTGTTTAGGGGCTAACTGTGGCGTTCTTACTCATCCACAATCATTGTTTGATGGCCAAATCGCGTTGCTTATTAACAATGGCTTAAAATCTTTTACACTCATGTTTTGGATTAGGAGCAGGAGCAAAGCAGAAATGCACTCAGACAGGTACTGTATGCTGGTGGCTCTCACATTGCCTTGGTCAATTCCTCATTCTTAACCAGCTGTGACGGAGAGGGAAACACGGCATTGAAGCAGGTTGGGGAAGCTGAAAGGCCAACTTCTCACCTGCAGAACCCAATAATGGGGATGATCTCAATTGAGAAGTGCAGAAAGCTTCAGAGGGACACAAACTGCTGAGATACAGACTTTATTCCTGAAATTGCAGCACTGGCAAAATCAACGTTGATTCAATGCAGGCACAATTGTCTATATTACTGACTACATTGGAACAGGATAGTGTAATGATAGCATCAGTTCAATTCACTTTGCTGCTATTCTAATTTATCTAAAAGATCTTTTGGCTGTAGGTTTCCTATTGAGCTTGCCAGTCATCGTTTATAGTGAGAGGAAATATCTCAGACTAACGTATTTGACATCAGGACTTGCGGTCTGTGCAGTGGACATAACCAGGGCCTGGACACACTGTAGTGTTTTTGAAGCAGGTGTTTCGTTGGCCTTTTATCTTCAGCTATTCCATGCTTTCCCCAGGCCTTCATAACCAGCCTTCCAGATTACAACAACACACTGCACTCTGATCCACGTCATTTTGTGATCCATATCATCATAATCCTTTTCAGTAATATAAATCACATTTGTTCCTAGAAATTGAGTGAAAATATCAAAGATTTTTTTTTTTTAAACAGGGGCGTCATTAATTCACAATCACCTAAATCTAACACAATGATTTGTACAACTAATAACCGAAAACCTTAACAAAAACGGCCTCTGTATATGTCTGACAGTCATTGTTTTAAGGAGACAGTGTGGGCTGGTGAGTAATTGGATTGAAACCGTGTGCTCTGTTTGAGTGCTTTCACATAGAATGTACACAGATCTTATAATAAACATAATCACAGCAGCAGCGAAAATGAGTCTGCATGAGAGTGCAGAGTGTAAAGGGATAAATAGAGGTTAATTCCATGCTGTTAAGTAGAACAAAAGAACAAAAACATGTTTCAGCTGGTCTCTTTTTCTTTTTAGCATGCAATTAACCATAACATGTCCCTAATCACAGTAGCAGTAAAGTAATTGAGGTGATGGGGTTTTCAAGTGGTCAGCACCCCATTTTTCTTATACTGTACAGTATACTACACACACTGCTTTGAGATTCTTAAAAAGTGCTCATCTCTTTTTTTGGCTTGTAAATCTTGTTTGGTTCTTTCTCAATGCATTAAATCTTCTGATATTGGCGTAAGACAGTATAAATGTATGAAATCGAAAGGGTGTAAGCAAGTCAGGGTCTCAAGATGTTTCTGGAAGACAAGATCTTCAAATTGTTCCAGTGTTTGCTCCGTCGAAGGACTGTTTTCCTCCTGTCAGGTTACAAAAACAACAGTTCTGAGATGGAGGGGGAATTTATTGAAAGGCATTGAGCTGGTACTGCGCGGCCCGAAAAACGAAACAAAAGCCTTTGAGAGGTTGCCCTCACCCTGCGTGATGACATACTGTACGCCGACTTTCGCATTGGCGCATAGCTAAATTCCCCACTCTGCAGTTGAAACGATGCCCCGTTTGGCAACTGCGCCACTTCATTAAGTGGATGGCTGCCTCTGAGGAAGGCAGCGCACCAAGGAACATGGTTGTCATGGGAACCGGGAGGAACAGCGAGATTCCAGGATTTAGTGGAGGAACTGTTTTTGTTTCAGAGTCACGGTTATTGTCACAGATGAACAAAATCTTTGTCAAACTCACACCACCAGGTCTTTGTTCCTGCCCGTCAGTTTTCTATTTAGATTTCAGGCAGGGTTTTTGTGTCAGGACGAGCAGTAAAGCTACTTGGTTTCGTCCTGCGTTGCCAGTGCAATTACCCCATAAGGACCCTCCAGAATATCTGTTCTTAGGGAATACCAAACAACTTTCAGCCCATGACATGGAGGTAATGATTTTCAAAGTAATTGTGTTTCTTTATGGACAAAAATACTGTTTAAGATTAGGGCACCTCTTTCCTCTAATTTTTTACACAACTACTTTTCAGCCTAAAGCCAGAGACTTTGTCTTCCTTCCCAGTTGTTTTCCTGATTTTCAACAGCATTTTGCCTCACGTGTTTTAATCTTAAACAACCCTTGTGGGTTTTAGGGCCCACGCAGAGAATGTTTCCCAGGGTAAGCTCATGTGCCATTCCGCTGGCTGTTTGTGGCTCTGTTTCACAGTGTTTCGGCAGACTATTTTTAGAGCCCATTTCTATTACTATCAACTAACTGGTTGCATAAGTCACAAGATGATAACAGAAAAGCAAAACATCTGCATCCTGCAAGAAATAGTCATTACTACATTCAGCTAGTTTCTACTGTTATCCACTAATTATTAATCCAGGTTTTATAAGTAGAAATAAGTTTAAAAACAAATTATTTTTTACCTTAAACTGTAGTCCCAAGGGTTAAGAATGGGAAACCTTTTCACCTGATCATTAAATAATTACTAGAACATTACATACCAGTTTTATAAAACAATAGTCTTTCCCACAACTGATTGTTTAAGAACTGATATAACTGAAAATCTAATGTGCATACTTTTTCATTTCACTCTATAGTTACATAAATATTTTGTTGTTTTAAACAATGGCAAAAATGTCTTTCATTCTTAGAGTGCATTTTAAGCTCAAATGTAGGGATGGACAGCTTGTTACGATTGTGCTGTTTCCCTCACCAATCGCTAACCATGAAAAAGAAAGACATTGACAGATACTTAAGTTGGATTTTACTGTATGTATAAATGTGCATAACTAGCAAAAGGGAAATAGTTCAGCAAGTTCCATCCACAGCAGCTGAACTGGATATACTGTACAGGAATTCATCATATTTTCTTTAACATATTCAACAATCATTTAACTCTCATTGCTGTACATTTTATGAGGTGCTATTTTCTAAAGCTCTCCATTTTTGTGGTCCAAATGTCCCTTTCAGGTGTTTTTCTACATTTCTGAGAATTAACCAGACTTAATCCTTTTGTCCGCAGGATATGGGCAAGTTCCCATTGGTGCTCAGTTAGGTGAGTTCAGCCAAACCTATATTTAGTAACTGATCTTTTTCCCTTTTACTTTCCCAAGAGAATTTAGAAATCTCACTGGTATCAGGCAGTGGTTTTTTTAACCCTGGTCCAGGAGGAACACTGTGTCTGATGGTTTTCGTTCCAGCTGAGGTCTAAATCTCCAGTGCTAAGTAATGAGTCAACTGATCTGCTCGGTTATTTCATTTTCTTATTTACCTCATCAGTCCAGAGTGTAAAAAATACCCAACTTCAAGGGTACCGTTTCCAAAAATGCAGCTCACAGACCATCACACAGCCCTCCTCCATGTGTTTGCCATTACTTCTGATTAAACAGCTCTAGCTTCATTGATGCTGGACAGATACAGGCGGGAATGACACTACCGAAGGAAGTGGGTCTTCCTTCTGCAGAGATTCTATTGGTTACATTTCAGGAAACACACCTGAACAAAGGCATTTCTGAAGCCCCATTCTTTATCCTTATTACCATGTCAACGGAGTTGATTGGAGATTGCTCCAGTGCAGCCCAGATAAAAAAAAATGATCAAAAACAACAAAGTTCATATTACACTTACACATACACAGGACATATTATCAAGTCAATCCAACATCCAAGATATGCATATTAAAATGTACGAGCAGTACTACATTTGATGCTTGGACACCTCCTCCCCAAAGAGAGAAATTTAAAAAAGGTGAGAGGGTCTGTGGACACCTTCCCAGCTTTCTGCTTGATGCGACTGTTGTACATAGAGCCAACAGAGGGAAGGTTGCGTCCAGTGATTCTGGAATGGCTGCGTACGGCTCTTTCCAGCTGTTTCCTCTCTTGGGCAGCTGTATTGTTGTACCACATTGTTATCGTGAGGATGACCGCCCTCTCAACCACAGGTCTCAGAATCTCAGAAATATGCTAGGCTGATACCAATTTCAAACCCCGGGTCACACTTTAAGAGCTGAAAGCAAAATTCCAAATATGCCCCAAGCAGAAAACTGAAATCTGTGTTCCGAACTCAGCTTTGACAAGAAGTGACATTTCACAGATCCAGGTGTCGGCAGAGATTACCAGCTTTGTCTATCCATTAAAAAAACTTCACAGCCCATTGTGATAATTTCGTCATGGAAATCCTTACGGTATTCCAGATAGGTAAAGGTCCGTGAAGTTTCTTCACACTGTAGACACACACAATGCAGCTATAAAAGGCACATTGTTCCAAGTTCTGGCAAGGTTACTTATTTAATGACAGACCAAGTACATTCCATTAATGTTACTGAAAGGATTACAAAAGGAAGTTTCCTGTTCACTGTCTCAACATTTGCAAATGCTCATATTTGTGTTCACTTTTCTATTGGTGTATTTCAGGTAAACCTCCCAAACAGTACGGGGGATTGTTAGGAAGGCTTGGCGGATACACAGGTAGGGAATCTCTATAACAATGACTTTGTAACCAAATAAATGTTTGGGTTGCTCTACCACATCAAAAAGCATCTTCACACACATTCGTCCAACCAGTACAGGGTTGCAGGGGATGCTGGAGTCTAATCCAGCAAGCAACAGATGCAAGGCGGGATAGACCCTGTGATGCCAGTCCATCTCAGGGCACACACAAACACACACACACAAACTCACACGAAGGCCAATGAACCTGCCAGTGCTGTATGTATTTGGACTGTAAGAGAAAACACAGTTCCAAAGACATGAACACAGGGAACACATACATACAAACTCTATATAGACAGCTCTTCAGGAACTGAACCCAGAGCCCCTGTGCTGTGAAGAAGCAATGCTAACCACTCTATAGATATTATTTTCTAGGAGAAAGGCCTTATTTAATTAGCGAAAACTAATATCTCTAACAGGGTCTCATAATTAAGCTTCATCAAGCATTGGGTAACCACTGAACATTGGGTTAACAAAGCAGTGAAAGAACAGATATTCATGCTACCCTTCCAAGATCTGTGATTTTAGTACTACCCACAGTTCCCTCTCTGTGCCACACAAATGCAAGTATTCAAAAACACAAGGTGATGGCCCACCACCGTCAAAGCCAAGCTGTGGTTGAAGTGCAGCCAACACGGAAAAAATCTAAAACATGAGGGATACATTAGAAAAAGCCAGAATTCTAGTATGAAATGGATAGTTTCACACCTCAATAGCCCCATTTTACTGACCTTTCCATAGCCATCACCCACCAATACTGAGTGGAGGGAAAGAAAAGAATAAGCTTATCAGTCTAGAGACATCTCTCAAGAGAGCTGACCTCTTGAGGCTTCAATCAGGCACCGCTTGGCTCACATGAAGAATTCTCCCCCCCCCCCAGATAGTCCTGCTTGTCTTTCTTCTCACTGTCTTATCATAGTTTAATAAACATTTCTTTGCACAGCCTTTGCATGCTGGCTGCTAAGAAATGATGTGTTTAGACCTTGACTGAAAAAAGCACATTACCATATGAAGGTGGGGAGACAAGGCCAATCTTTCGTCTGCAACATAAAATATTCCTTGGCATTTTACAGATGTTTTATTGAGCTTTGCTTGGGAACAGTACAAATAAATTCTAAATAGATAAATTCTAGCAGCCTAATGGACAACAGTGTTGGCCTACAGTAAATGACACTCCTGGGTTGAAATAGCTAAATCTGAACATGATGAAATTAACTTCGGAAACCACCGTAGTCCCCCAATACTGCTTGTTACAGTAGGAAACAGTAAGAAAGGGTGATAATTGCTTTAATTGCCTACATATAAATTCAGCAGGCACTCAAGACTCAGAGAGCACAGTCTTCATGCAGTCTTCTCAGACATACAGTATGTAGTAAGCCTTTTATAGTGTACTAAAATTATCTTTATCCTTTGTCTCCTAGGGGCTGCTGGGTGTCCAGCAGGCAAATACTGTGGGAAAAAGAGAAAATAAAAGACTCTTGAGAATGAAGTGACCTCAAGAAATTATGGTGCTACTGCATGATCTAGAATGTACATTTTTATACAAAAAACAACCCCTTTTCATGTACACACCTCAAAGTTTCTGTGACTTCTTTGTTTAAAAAATATTAAATCTCTGCAAAGCCAGAAGAATGATTGACTTGAAGAAAAAAACTGAAGCAGAAGCCAATTGTATGCCGATACTACAAGATTATTTTAGTATACAAGCAATTTATTACATTATAAGATTACTAGAAGTGTAGTGCATTCTATAATTGACATACAACTGTGTATTGTTAAATATTTTTAAATTGCCTACCATACCCTTTAAAAGCTTATAGTATATCTAAAGCATTTTAGGCACAACTGGAACCAATTTGTATGCTGCCTAAGTGTAAACAATCCCAATATTAAAGCACAGTGTATCAAAGCACTAACAAAGTTACCTTTTTGTGATGTACATGTAACTGAGCCCAACTTACTTGCAAACTTAAAATACAACATTTCATTGTGCATTGCAAATGATCAGGTTACTGCTTTGTAGTAAAAAGTACATTGATTTTTTTTTCCTTTTGCTGTATCAGCTGCTGCTGTTTTATTTTCTATTGAAAAAGGAAAAGAATACTTACAGTACAGGCTGTTCAATGAATTACAGCCTGTCTACCCTGCTACCCAATAGCAGATAGTGCTATCTGATCAGCACACGTTCTAAAGAGCACGTATAAGTACTGTATCCTAATATTTTGGAAAAATATGGTAGGTGAACATAAACGTGGCTGTTTTATGAGAGCATGGGACTCTGCAGGGGCTAATTGAGGACCGATATACTTTGAGTATTTTTGGATTTTGCCCCTGGCACGCTGTTATCTGGTTATCTATTAGAGTCACTGTGCCATTTAAGAAATGAAATAACAGCACAGTAGAATTTTGACTAGCGGGTTAGAGTCCCTTGGTTGTGCATCTTTGTATTTTTTATCTGCTTACTTTGCATATAGTTAAAATATGATGAGCTTCCTGCTCTGATTCTTAGATGTTGATAAGCTAACATTGGAAAACAAAGGGGAAATACGTACCAGTTATTAAGCTGAAATCCTGAAATACAAATGTTTTTAAAAACACTTTGGCCCTGCTTCAGTGAATCTATCTTTGAAAACCAATTCTTCTGGCTTCATTTAAGAATGTAACAACCAAGTCGCTGAAACAAAAGGTAAATTAGGACTACCAAAACACGGTTTTGACCTCTACATTGTGTGTGTCTGAAGTACAACTTTAGAGCTATTAATTTTATGATCTTGTCAACCCCAGAAAGGGGAATACTAGGTGCTTAAGTCATTCAACTTTGGATGTTTGTCTTATCATAATCATTTAATAGTTTACACTTGCATTTCAATTTCAACATATTTTTCATGATGGATCATAAAGAAACTGAGTTGTTATAATGTACTGGTCTATTTCTTCCTGATAGAATTTTTCACCATTTCGAACTTGACATAAAAAAATCTTCCAAAATTGTGTAAATTATAAAGTAAGATCGGTAGTTTTTTTTTTCTTTGCTTGTGCAATTTTTTCAGTTACTGTGGAGAACTGTTCTTATATTACGCTTAAAGTTTTTTATTTGTCGTGATTTCGGGGAGCCATTTTCTGTGATTAGTTCTCCTTTCCCACCAACCCACGATTATGGAGCTGAAATGGGTGAATGTGCCAGTTTAAATAAAATAATTCCTATTGCTTGAAAATTATGTTGTGTTTTTTTCTTAATTTGCTGAGTGTGTCTCCTGCAAAATAGCAACAAATATTACTAAATAACTTGCTGTATGAAAGACTCTTCACAGACACACTCCCTGGCATAGTTCTCTCCATGGTGATAGCCCATATCTGACAGCTATGTATGTTGTACCTATAAGGATAACTAAAATTACTGTCTCTACCTTATTTTTAAACCAAGAGTACTGGATTTGGACTGTGCTGGGTCCTTCCATAAAGTTCTCTGTGTTTATCATTGTATTTTTTTACGTGTGTGAACGGTTAGGAGAATGTTGCACTTTTTCAAAAAAACACATTTAAATAGTATTGGAAAAGACCAACATTTATACTGCTTCTTTAACTAAATAAGTAATAAACTTAACATTTTATTGAAAAATCTGTTGTGTCTAAATCTTTTGATGTGCACAATGCTGACTACCGTCCTCATCTACGTTAATAAAAGTTTATAGTCAATTTTTAAAATGTATACAGACTCATTAAAAAGAGAAACACGCAATAAACTCAAAATAGTGCTCTAGCGTGCCTGTTTGAAAAATCTCTTACAAGTCCCTGTGATTTTGATGAAACAAGGGTTTTCTCACTGCAAAGACCGCTGCAAAGATGGGTTTCCAATGATGAGAAAAATCAGGAAATGTGTTATTAATTATTATAGAAGGCGTTTTGTCCCAAAGGATCCCAAGGCATTTTACATAAAGGAGGGGGCCCCATCTCCTTATACCCCTACCTGGGTGATGTGTGGCAGTCATTCTGGACCCACAGCTCACCTGCACAGCAGCTAAGTAGTGAAGCGAGAATTTTTTCCAAACAGTACCACAGAATCCTTAATGAGCAGGTAGTTAGGACAACGCTTACATGTCTCATTGGAAAGATGCATCTCCTATAGCATCACTGGGAAGGTGGATTTGGAAGTTCTGTCCAGAGAGAAGTGGTCCATTGGCATGTTAGAGCAACACTCTTTCCTGGGAAAGAAACCAGGTTCTTTCTTTCCCAGTATTGACCAGCCTTAATTGATTTCTTAAATCAATGTAACCAGGAGATAAGAGGAAAATAATTTCGTTGTTTACCTTTAATTTAAGCCATAAACCAGGTTTCTACTGTATCAACTTCGAGATATAACAAAATGTTTGAGGGGATATCATGCCAGGCGGAAACTGGCTTTTTTTCCCGTGGAAATAAAAGGTTAACAGAAACAACTGAGACTTTACAATGCATTAAGCCTAAAACGCGAGCAAGCACAATCCACCTCATAAAAAACTTTCTAGGAGGCACTTTTCTGGGTTGTCATAAAGGGACTCTTGAATGAGACATTCCTCAGTTTGAGCTATTGAAGGTTTATGTTTAACTTTCCGTTATCAAACAATGTCTTACCTGAATAATTAACTGCACTTCGATGGATGGTAGAGTAAAAGAGGAATACTGCAAAGACGCTTTTGAAGCACAAGGTTCCGTAAAAATCGCTTCTCCTTTTAGTGTCCGTCAGTACGTCATTGGAGCACGCCTGCTGGCTCACTTTGTCCATTTCCCAGGGATTCCGCTTGGTTGGCCAACTCGATGGCTTCCTCCCATTCCAGTTTGCTCGTTTGATTTGATCCATCCTATCTCTGCAGAGTTAGCCGCGGTATCCCTCGCGTCTATTGCTTAGTAGTACGGCTCTACAGGAGGAGACTCTGTGAAACGGTGGAGCTGTTTCTCTCTCAGGCTCTCGCTGAGCTCCCGGTCGGACGGTGAATGAGGTTGATGCTGCTTTGTTGCACCTGGAAGGACGAGCGCATGGGAGAGGAGGAAGGTGAGTGTGGGAAAAACAACCCAGTGTGAAGTCGGTGCTATTTTGACAGGTTTCGTACCTGGATTTTCCTGGTGTCCGTTTCCAAAGAGTAAAGCCTGGCAGGACCTCGGTAACAGAGAAATGGCCCGTGCGTTCTCATGCAGTCAGATAGATCATGTTCAGTTAAAATATATATATTTTTTAAATAACAAAATACTGAGCAACCTAGCCAAAACAATGCTGCTGGGTTTTTTTCTGCACCATGCCGAGAGGACGCGTATGCATTACATTTCCTGACCATTTCGACCCAAGCACGACCTGGGACGTACCTGTCGTGTCCGTGATTTGGCAGTTAATTAGGGGTCGTGTTGCTGTGAACCCGCCAATTAAGCGCCGAAATCATCTCAATCTGAAGACCTTAAGTAATTTAGGTATTTGCAAAATAACTTGTAAATTAATCATCACGGTTATTTAGTAGCGTTCTCTCACCTTTTTTATGTGAAGCTGCGCACGTAAACCGTGCACTGTCAAAAAAAATGTAGGAAGATATAAAAATGACTTTTAAATGTTCGTTGTGCTTACACTTATTGGAGAACAAAACGCAAAATAAAGTAGACTGAAATGTGCCATTAAATAGCTATTCGTTTTCCTAAATCTCGATATTATTGTTATGTACTAAAACAACAAACACCATCTGTTGAGATTGGTTCGTGTTTACTTTGGATGAAACAGTTTGGGCTAAAATAACACCTGCGCTGGTTTGGGACACTGCAGTACGCGGCGCCGCAGTGGATACAAAGATCATATGATGTTGCACATGTTGTTCAAAATTAGTTTCAAAGTTGCTATTTCAATTACTTCACGCCCCTGAAATACCTTCGCTCTTCCGTTTTTCATGAATTCATCTTTGGCTGTTTTTAAAAAAATGGTAAATGGTAACAATAATTGTTTAGTCTTAGGTTAGTGTCGAAAGTTTTTTTTACAGGATTTTGAAAATACCTTTGGAGACGTTCTTCAGATCCAAATAAATAGCTGCTATACAGAAAAGACTGAATCCCACATAATTCATAGGCTTGCTTTAAATTATACAGAAATCGCTCGTGTTGTCTTTGTCACTTAACTAATGTTAACATTTGCGATTTTTTCAGTCGAATTTGCATTTAATCTTAGGACGTGTTTTAGATGGGAAGTAGAATCTATTTATTTGGTTTACAAAACAGATTACCAGTTTATTTGTGTCACAGCACCACATGACTGTATCCAGGGATCAATGTGAGATTTTGACATATCTCCTCACCTGTGTCAGAGTAGCTCCCTGTTTCGTGAATTGGAGATAAAAGAGGCACTACAGCGAATTCTTTTGGGGGAATAATGACTACAGCTGTCACGAATGTCTTTGGGCAAGTTGGCCAGGTTTCTGAATAATCAAAAGAATCACATTTCCTTAGGAAGCTCTTTGGACATCCTGCAGTACTTACAGTAGCTGTGGAGAGATCTCTGTTCAGCAAAGGGCAGACTAAAATGCAGTTTGAAATTAATCTTAGGTTATACAGGGAAGTTGTGACGTATTAATTTATGAAATCATTCCATGGTGTTGGTAGTTTGATATACAAGCACTGGAAACTGTAATTTTAAACAGCAGCTGTATAGAAACCACAGAGTCCAAAATAAAAGTTTGGAGGTGAATGAAAAATCGATTGTTATTGCACAGGCTTCCAGTCGTATGGCAAAGCCAGGTTTCGCCCTGCAGAAATGTCTTCAGAAGAAGGCAGTTCCTCACCTCACTCCAGAAAGCAAGAGCACAGGATATCCACAGACATCCAGCCGTGACGCACATCCTTGAACAACAAGACCATCTCGCTATATTAAAGTTTGATGTCTTTGTTCACGTGCCTGGTTGCCTGCGCGATTCTGGAGACTGACCCATATTAGGCACAACTGGTCCCCCGGAGAAAACGCCAGGCGTGTTTTTGGGAGAAAGTGCAAGGCTTGCTTTCTGAGTGACGCGAGAGCATTGTGACAGTAACTGATGGCTTGTGCACATAGTGGACCGGTTTGCCTTTCCTATCACTGCCCCAGGGAGAATTGGAGGCTCTGAGAGCAGGAGGCTTCTAGAACCCACAACACATTCTGATACAGCGGGTTGGTCCGTGCGTGTACAGTACCTGTTGTGTTCTTGTTCTGTTTTGAAAAATTGAACCTCGATAAACAACTGCTTCACAAAAATAAAATGAAGTGCCCTTTTTTTTTCTCCTTTATCTAGGAAAAATGAGGAACTACTGAGAAAATGTGAAGTTGTGTGAAAATCCCTTTGGCTCTCCATTTACTGTACCATGCTGTTTTAGAATATGTAAACCAGAAAAAAAAATGTAATCAGATAAGTGAATTGAGAGCAAATTCTCATTTACTTTGATGACCCGCGGAACCACTGTTGATGTAGCAGAGCATTTTTACTGAAGCGGTATGGGTGAAGTACATTGCACGAGGTGAAGCAGAAACCCACACAGCTTTTAAACTAATATAGCCATTCATTTTCAAGTCTGGAGTCCACTCTAATGGCCTGGAAATATACAAAATCTTACAAAGAGATTCCACTCTCTGTGAATATGTCAATAATAGAAATGACAGTAAGCAGAAACCATTTACTTGTTTTATTTCTGTATAATGTTATATATAATAAGGCGCTAAGGAGGTTTTGCATGTAGTTTACATGTATTTACGGAAGCTGTCATATCGCTCTGATGTAAATTAGCCTGTATACAGTATTAATGAGATTTTAGATAACATAAGGGATGTAATCATGTTCCTTTTCCTCAAATACAGAACCCAAGCATAAGCAAATAAACACAGAGCTGAGTGACTATTCAATCGCTGTAGCGTGCTTGTAATGGTAACAGAGACACCACAGGTGTTTTATAACTTCCTAGAATGATTCATATCTAAGGCTTGTTCTTGAAAAGGTCATGATTCCTTTATAATGACACTGGGGGGTTGAACTAAACAGTTGGATTGGTTTACATTGCTTGTGTAATCCAATGAATGGCTCTGCAATAATTTACCCTTGTTTTAATGTCTAGTGCTCCATGAGGCTCCATGAGAAATTGAGTTGAGTTGGCTTAGAGCATGACAGCTTTTCCTTTTCTCAAATGCAGTTATAATGCGGTGCAGCATCTCCTCTTCCCAAGTAATAGTGTTCTGCTTTTTTCTATAAGGTAGTCATGTACTGTATTTCTGCTCTACAATGTAGTCATGGCATAGGCAGCCTTGATTGTATTTTGTTTTGAATGCTTTTCTGCTACAGTCTTTCCAACCCAACAGCCCACATTTAAAGGCAATGCAGATGGAAATTCTCTCATGGTATTTCTGGTGAGAATAAATGATATACTGTATAAACAAGCCTGGAGCATTATAGGTAATTGAAAAGAACAAATGCACTATTTTCTGCGGTGCATTAGGTAAATGGTTGAAGTGACCTTTTTCCCCCCTGCGCACATTTATAAATTAGTTTTTATATTAAAAAAATTCCCCTCTTTGGGGGAAAAATGCTGACTTTAGTGTATTGTATTTTAATTCTATTATTTGAATTTCCAGGTGAGGCTGTTTTGCTTTGCAATTTTCCATCTCATTCAACTATATTAAATCAGCTCATGTTGACAGACGCTGGGCTGTTGTAGATCAAGACACTGTTTTAAATCTCTATTCTCTTCTGTCAGCTCAAAGCATTTTTTTTTTGCTTTAGGCTTACATGCCTTGTAGTCATTAAACTCAAAAAGCAACCTGGAGTGTGCATTTTGTTGCAGGCAGTTTCATGAAAATTAGGTTTGATAGGACTAGGACAAAGGTGACACCACACACTGATGTTTCAGTCATAATCAGTGTGTATCATAAAATGTACAGTACATTGTATTATCAACAAGATACATTGTAGCAAAACTTATAGGCAAGTTTTACTTTTCACAAGCATTAATGTAACATCGGCATGGATGTTTAACTTAAAATTTTCAAATGCTTTCTTAAGGTGTTACATTGGTTTCGTACTGCAACAAATCTCATTTGAGAGCGCAAGATGACTGACCTTTCCTGTGTTCTTTTAGTGCTGATCGTTAAAAAACATTTAAGCTTTTACAATAAATTATTTACAATTGTTTTTCTTAGTGTATCCTGGGACTAAAATTACTCACTGTTTCACATAGGGTATTGAATGTGTGAAGATTTATGTGTGAAATAGAGATATTAAATCAGTTTTACTTAGGTGTCATTGATTGTTAGGTCATGAAATTGAAATTTGATGTGGAGGCTTTGTCTCTTGATAAAGTCATTCCTTTTCTTACCATCATAGCTACTATACAGGTAGAGACCCACAACCTTAGCTTCCTGTTTACATTAAAACATTGAATGACTGACTCAAGTGTTGTTTGGCATGGTATACATGGCTGTATAATATATCATCCATTGCATTCATGCTATTATTTATTGGTTTTAAAGAAATCAAATGCATTTTTGTGCTAATTTAAGACAATAAACCCTAAAGGTCTGTTAATGAGCTGGTGGATCTTTGCACTATTCGATTCACGTTAGTGGAGTTTTAACCAAACTTTGAGAGGAATGACCGCACCCTAGGTCTCCTTCACCACTGCTGTTCTGACTTGTAATCCTCCGTGACCTCCCTTCCCAAAAAGCTATAAATGCCTTTGTGAGCTCCTCTCTTCCTTCCCCTTGGCTTTTCCACCATTTTCACCACCCCTTGGTGAGCTCCTCACTCTGCAAGGAGTCCTGACTTCCTCTTATAACCAGGTGGGTGGTTAGCTACAGTGTAAGCATGTTAAGCTCAAACATTTCATGTATAAGTTTTCTGAAAAACATTTTTCTTGTTGGGTGTTGTTTTTCCTTATGTACTACCCATTAGCTCTTTAGTGACTGAAGTGCCTGTAGGTGGCTTTACAGAATTACTGGTGAAACAAAGGCCAATTCATTTAGGGCTCCACTGAAAGACTTACTGTGACTCCTAGTTTGAGAGAGTCTTCTTGTATTGAACAGAAAACAGACTTCAAAGCTAATTAGCTGTTAGTCTTGCTAGTTCCAGTGCGCACTGTTCATTTCATGGTTGCGTGAGGTCAGTGCTGTTTATCTTCTTTGTGTTTTTTTAAGCTCTGCCTTCCATTTTTTCAGTTTTTTATTCCTTTTTTTTTTAGCTGGAGGAAGTTTGCCCGTCTGTGCGGGATGCAGACGTAGCATTTATGACGACCAATACCTACAGGCCCTCAACTCTGACTGGCACACGGTCTGCTTCAGGTTAGTGTTCTGTCTGTCC